CAATTCGTCGTACGGTACGTCGCCGCACTCAATGTCCAAACGGAGGTAGTTATTCGCAATCCAATCGTTACTTTTGATAGATTTAGCGTCCAGATTGAAGATGAACGGAAGCTCAAATATCCAGTGATTTATATCAAGAGTACACTCGTCCATTGTGCTTAATTCTTTTATGATGAATATATTATCAATATTTTTAAAGCCTTGAATATCGAGGAATAAACACATTTTGTTATTTGTCAAGTCATCTTTCGTTAAACAAAAAGAAAAAAATTATAAAATTAATGAATAAAAGAAGAAATAATTTCATCTAAACACTTACATGTTTCAAAAATAAATTTTGGTTCAAGTCTATTGTGCAAATTAAATTATTTTGAGGATCGTTACTCCGTTACCTTTCAAAGTCCAACGTTTAACTACTGCTCGATATTTGTGTTCACTTCAGGACAGGTTTTTTCAATTTTGTTGTTGTAAAATCAACAGTAAATGTTTCAAAACATACTTTCGTTTAATTTGAAATGTTGGAGTAAACGTCGCGCCTGTTTCTTACTCGAAATAGCTACGTAAACCAATTAAAGTAATAAGCATGCATAATAAATAATTTATAATAATAATTTTATTTATGTTTTACAGATGTATATATATGTGTGTGGTGTTAGGTGACCGTTAATTAATATTATTTGGAGATGCGGTCTGGTGTGACGTAGAAATGTGTGATGTAGAATGTTTACGAAAACATTTTTTTTTATAGTGCCACGTTTCAATCTTTACTGAGATCATCATCAGCGCCTGGGATTTATTATTAATGATAATAAGTNATTATTTATTATTATTAATTATTTTTAGGTTGAAGGTTGATTAATACTGGGCCTTGCGAGGTTGTCACACGAACACGTACTTTTGTAGGCCGTATATGTGTCTGGCATGTAGAGAAAGGTTGCTCGATATGGGCCACCTAGATGAAAGGTGCAATTCCTTAACTCCATTATTATATATATGCATTAGCATTAGCTTGAGCACGGTAGCAAGTATCAGGGTCCCATGTTCCAATTTTTGGAGGAAACATGGTTGTTTTATTATATAAATTGTGTATTTTTGTGTCCCAAGTGAGTGTTGAGAGTGAATGAGCAGTGTGAGAGGGTCAATGGCGGAATATGGAGTACCCCATCGAACCTAAATTAGATCAATTACATAATATGGGTAAAGGGTGATGGGGATATTGAAAATTCCTGGCCAGCTTCAGGTCAATCAACCTCCACAGCCTTGCCAACGGCTCCTTAGTGTAGGATTTTGCTTGTGGATTTTCCAGTTTTAGTTGCAAGAACCTGCACCTACATAGACCTTTACAGAAACCTAAAATGTTTTCTGCGGTCTCCTCCTTTTCCTGGCAGTATCTGCACAGTGTTTCTTCTATCTGTCTCCTATCCAGTGCATGTGCTATCTTAAGTGGCAGTGCCCCCTCAGGAGTCCAACCAGAATCCTGGTTCGGTTGCGGTTACCTTCCAGCACCTTTGTAAGTTTTGCGGATGGCCCTTCTATGAATCTCTTTGCATGCCATATGCCTGTGGTATTGTTCCACCAGTTTTGGACTCATTGAGGATCCATTTTACGATGCATCCTCTTTCGTGGCAGGATGCTAAGCCGCAGTAGGGTTCAGGACCTAGAGAGTACCAATGTTGGCTCCCTCTTTAGCCAACTTGCCAACCTTTAGACCTCTATACCCCGAGTGTCCAGGGAGCCATGCAAGGGCCAGGTCATTAGTGTCACTGACTCAGGGCCTTCATGCAGTTCCAAACGCGCTTTGCCTTCATATCGCCTGAGGCTAGGGCCTTTAGTGTTGCCTGACTGTCAGAGGAGGTGGCTATCCTCCAGTAATGTATTCCTAGCCTTTTTTTCCCTGGCAGAGTTCAATTGCTATGATTTCAGAGTGGAAAACTGTAGCATATTTACTAGGTTTACTGTCAATTCGGTCTTTGGATTCATCCCGAGCCCTTGCCAGTTTTGGAGCCGTCAGTGTACCAGTAGGAGTGTGCATTTAGCAGTGGTGTTCCATTGGCCCATTCTTCCTGTTTTGGAATGGCACTTTTTAGTGAAATTGTATTTGGGAGTAGTGGCATTGATTGGCATGTCTAATATGGCATCTGCCTTATCTACTCCACTCTAATTGATTGAATGGTATGTAAATAGGTAAGAATTGTGCATTGTACATTGGGGCTGAAATGATCTATCTGTTGATAGCCCCCAGAACACACCCTTGGTGGCTAGATGAATAAGATCGAGGTCTGATCCTGGTCTGTCAACAACTGGTCTGAATGATTCTCTAGGACTGCTGGTAATTTATTGTAAATTACAAAAGTTGGAATTGCCAGTGAATGGCAAGAAGTGATAGGCTCAACTCTACACGCATGTATTTATGTACATGCTGTGCAGATTTGAGCTTATATAAAATCAGAAATCAGTATTAGGTAATTGCTTAAAGAAGAGTGGGGTGAAGAAAAGAAAAAACTAATGGGTGAAGAAAATATAATGAAAACTAAAAAGGAAAGTTTAAGTGGTCAGGGATTACTCTGGTGCATGAAGGAAGCCAGGGTGGCAGACGAGTGCGCCAGATGTGGCAGACTGTTCCAGGCCCTCACATCAGTAAAGAGTATGAGTGTAATGGAGTGAAATCTAGATCTAGATGAAGAAGAGAACTGAGTGAATGCGTATGCAATACATATTTCGTGCTAGAATTTTAAAAATAATTTTTAAACTGAGTAAAGTGAGGCAGGTCTCAATCTTACAGCCAAGATTAAATATCACTTGTTCCAAAATAAGGGAGTGTGGAATTAAGTACAAGTGTTAAATTAGTTGAGATCTTTCCACAGAAAACAAGGAAAAGTTAAATAATGGTGAGCAGTAGGCGAAGTAGGACAAGATTTGATTGAACCCAAGGGCCTTAGACAAATGTAGGATATCCATGAGAGGTTGCAGGATAATTTTACACAAGGATTTCTCACAGTATTACAAAAAGGGGTAACGGTATTATTAACGAAGATCCTAAGGGACTGACATTTTTGAAGATTTATATTCCTCCACAGAGATGGTTAGCAGTAGCCCATTGTAGATAGGTGAAAATTTCATCATTATTAGAACAAATAAAAGTCAGTAACAGCTCATTTACACCATGTAAAACTGAAAATGATCCAGATTGGAACATTTGGAACAGTAGAGATTTGTGTAAAGGAGAAAATACCAATGGTCCTACTATCCATTGATCCTACTTTGTCAAAATCATATCTGTCATAATTTTTTCATTAATGTTGGCCATTTGGTACAGCTTATAATTACTAGTTTTAAGAATGCAAGTGGTAAATGTCAATTTTTAGTTTTACATTTTGTCTCAAAATTGAGTGGTGGATAAAATTTCCCATAAATATGCTTTTCTGTTTATTTCAACATTAGCTTGTCCTGAAATGGTTTTGTTATTTTTCCATTCTGATAATTTGATTTTCACAATTTTTATACTTAACCCACTTTTCACTGCAACCATATATATTTAAGTGGAAAATGGGTATTGATAAGAAGTAATAATATTCAAGAAGAGAAGGCCAAGAAATAAAATTTTCTTCAACTGAATTTTTTTTAAACTAGCGTAACACGTTTATCCTTCATCTGGGGACACTAGTACACATCTTTATATCCATAAGCAAGAAAATGCACTTCCTTTAAGGTGAGAACTTTCCGGAGTTCCCCTTCACTTATTTTCCTGGTCTAAAGTAGTTAAATTGGTTCCAGATAAGATGTGTGTCTCAGTTTTCCAATTTTTTTAAGGGGTAATTAAACAGCCAAATTGCCAGTATTAAAGCCTATTATTGTTGAGATTTTTGTTTTGCTGGTTGAGATGTGCAGAAACTTCTTTAATTGTTTTGTACATGGTAAATTCATTTAGTGCATAGTCATTTCTTTTTCTAGTATGACTATTTGCGACTTTGGTCTAAGGGTTTGAGTTTGTCAAACTATTGACTTCAATCCTGTCATTTCTTGGCACCATCATATTAACTGGTTGCATTTTCCCAAGAATTAGGCTTACATTCATTCTCAGACAAGTTTTGAGTTGAAATTGTAGTTTAATGCCTTTAGTACTACTTGGCTGTCTGAGAATTATCCATGCAGCTTTTTGATTATTTTTTGTGAAGAAAGTGTTATTAAATGGATCTGAACTTGAAAAATTTTGGGGAACTGTAGTAGTCGAGAGGGCAGGATGATAGACCCTTGGCTTGTAGACCCCGCGGTGGTGTGTTCGCTTTCCCACATCGCCCCTGGCCATTTTTTTCACGCTACCCTTCCCCCTAAAGATGCTGTTGGAGGAGTATGAAAATATTCCACAGCATTACATTCCAATGCCACATCGAATGCAAGCAGTGATCAGTGCAAGGGGAGGAAATACTCCGTTCTGAATTGGATATTTTCTTGTTTCAATAGCAACAGTTTTGGTAACATTGTTTTACTCAGTTTAATTTATTTTTAAATTTAGCTATAACATATAAAAACGTAAAGCTTACATTTAAAAATATCCAGCCCTCTCCGTGTAGTAGCATATCCTTTTCTATTTACCTCTACACTTAGGACAACTACCAACAACCATAAAAGTGCCAATAGTACCCCCCCCCCGTTGTGGTATTACTAACAGTGATTGATGTCCTAATTTGGCTTTTATTTCTCGACTCGGGTTGCCATTTTTCTTTGCTGCTCTCTCAATGGATTCATATGGGGAGTTATCAAAAGCACCTTCTATGCCCATGAAACTGCATAGTGCTATTTCTTTTTCCTATATGGTTGTAAAATAAAATATAAATATAAAATATTCAATTATAATTATTGATCAATATATTATTATTATTATTAATTGGTCAAGCGGACCACGAAATTAGTGAATTCAATTATAAGTCAATCTACAAGCCTAATTTGTAAATATAATTTATATTTATGTTCTACATTAAGTTTGAATTTTAATAATAAACCTGTTAATTCACTTGGGATGATATCTTGCTTCATGATAATTATTCTGACTTGTTTTATTAAAGATCGTAATATTTTCACTTCTTCTGGATGATAAGGGAAAGCATATTGACTCGGGTTAATAATATTGGCTCCTTTTCCACTTCCATATGCTGTGATATATGAGTCATGTTATAAATGATTATTAACTGAACAACGATAAAATGATATACAATCTTACCAATATGTTTGTTTATCATCCAGCGTGAACTGATGACCGACTCGTTGCTGCCTCTCATGAAAAGGGTAATCATCTTGAAATTATTTATTGTTAACACTCTAACACAATATGAACAACTTTTTTCTCCACAATTGCCAAAACCTTAAAAGTAACAATATATTATGTTAATATTGTTACTACTTTTTTATTATGTATTATTGTTGAAATTTAAAAAATAAATGTTGCCATTATACAGACTTTAATTAATCTGTGATGTATGTCCATTTTAAAAGCAGAGCAACAAGTTTTAATCTCCTTGTACTATTGCGTAAATTACAGAACCCATAGAGTTAAGGTGAACGTATTTTTATGGTCTATTTGTTCATTTTCCAATTGCAAATGGAATTTTCCAATTCAGTGACAGTGGCTGAACCTTTTCACAACAAAGAAAGTTACCCTATCTTAGACATGTTTAGAACTATAGGTAAAGTGAAGACCGAAATAGATGAAGATGAAAACTTCTCATTGTCTGCAGAAGAAAATGTTTTGGGTGGTACAACATAGTGGAAGAAATACATTCATTGCAATCAAAGCAAGTAATAAATTAGGGGCAAATTATAAATACAGGAAAGAGGATCTTGTAGTGTGCAATGTAGAATCCCAAGAATTTCCATTTTCTACATTCCTAGACTAGAGTAAATCACTATCTGTCTTACTGGAGGGCTTAACGTCCAACTACCTGTTGGGTGTCGCAGACAAGAGGTCAAACCACTACACTTCTTTTTACATATTATGACTAATTATTAAACCATGGGCTATGCCAGGATCCGAACCGAGGAATGTTAGTGTGGCAAATACTAGTTGGACACCCTTACCACTAGGCGACTGCGGACCCCCTCTACTTCCAAGAGTAAAATATAATGCTACTATAAACCTCTTAACCAAATAAATCTGTGTCCAGTAATATATTTGTTGTCAAATTTGTTTGCAGCAATTAGCATTTTTTAGTTTAGGACCTTTCTGGCCATTTTGGTCTGATTATCCTTGATGTTTTAGTCTGTCAAATGTGTTTCATTAACAATATGTCTGTTTGGAAATGAGCAAACTACAGATTCATGTTTTTTCAAAGATAACAAGTGTTCTACATAGTAAAAATAATTACAATTAATTAAGGTTTTTAGTTGAGGTAAAAAAGTCAATGGCACGAGTGGGATTCGAACACACAATCTTCGGCGAGATACGCCGCTGCTCTACCACTTGAGCTATCGTGACCTCGATCCACTCGGACATATCTCAACTAAAAACCTTAAATAATTGTAATGTATTAATTGGTCAAGCGGACCACGAAATTAGTGAATTTAATGAATTAAAATGAAGTATACTTCACTAAAGCTCTCCGTGGCCATTTCATTTGTCGCCGAGAATCCAATCCGATTACACGACATTTGAAAAATGGCAAAAAGGAGGGAGAACTCAAACGGTGGGGTTGAGGTAGGAAGTTGACGTCCGAGTGGACCGAGGTCACGATAGCTCAAGTGGTAGAGCAGCGGCGTATTTAGCCGAAGATCGTGGGTTCGAATCCCGCTCGTGCCATTGACTTTTTTATCTCAACTAAAAACCTTAATTAATTGTAATGTATTAATTGGTCAAGCGGACCACGAAATTAGTGAATTTAAGTAAAAATAATATTTATTTTTAATGATCCATCATTTAAAAATAGTAAATGCAATATTTTATTGTCTTTATAAATATCAAGATTTTATTAATAGTAAAATCCAAAAGATAACAAAATATTCATTAATTTAAAATGCAGTAAAGGATTTTTGATACCTTGTAAATAATTGATTTTTGACACCTAGCCCCAAGAATCCATGCAAATTGATGCTCATCTAATTGAACAAATTGACATAAAAATGAAAGTTAATTAGACCCACAATACAAAAACCCTAATTGAAAGTAAGACTTGAATCTTAAAACAATTTGGTTTCAACAATTGATTTCACTGTACATTTGTTTTTGAAAAAGGTAAATGATGAAGTGCATTTGAGATACATTGAGCTGCGGATCACCTGGTGTACTTCAACACAAAATTTCACAATTTACCTTTGATCATTTTCCACCTATGCTCACTGCATCTTCCATTCTGATGTATGTACGAGTCATCTTTAGTGGATATTTTCTTTTTCAATTTTTTTTATAATCAAATAAGAGAATAGGCTGATTTATATTAAGCAGATTGTGAATTATGCACAAATGTTTTCATTTTGGAAAACAGCCATACTTGACCTTAGAGCAATCGGCATAAATTCACAATCTATCTTTTGGTTTATCTGTTATTCACTTCAAGAGGTATTTTTGCAATTTTGTGATCACACATATAACATGACTTAAGTGGTAAAACTGAACTTACGTTTTCTTTAACTTTAACGAACAGATGATATCCAATATTAGTCTAGCTATAATTCACAAAAATTTAGAAAAATTCGGAATAGTTATAAAGGTAGTCCTGACAATAACTACTGTTGCTAAGTAACTGCACGAATATTAAATTTTATTAATTTACTATTTTTTAATTTACTATATACCAACCCATGGAGCATGTGGATACCATGAAACCTTGGAAAAAGACAAAATCAATTTAAATAATTACAAAGATTGGCATCTCTAAAAGAAGACGAAAGAAAATTTTGACAGACCCTTCCAAATAAAAATAGCAACAAGAAATGTTGGAAGAATAGCATTTTAAAATTATTTGAATGGTTTGCTATGGCACTCAGATGAATCCAAATGGAACATATAGTGAGGGCAGGAATCAAAGGTACAAATTTTGATATAGCAGAACGTAAGTTTTTCCAAGCCAAGATACACAAAATAGAACTCTGTGCCCAAGAAATAATTAAAAGGAGATTTAAAGGACTGAAGGCTTCCACCTTGAAGGAGTCCACCTTCAACTCAATGCTCTGGTAATGCCTAACATATTTATAATTCCTGGTAAAACAAAATCAGGTTAGGAAATGAGGGGATTGAAGGCAATAGCCTGACAAAATCAGACCCTTTGGACTAAAGCTACAAATAGTCATGCTTGAAAAAGAAATGACTACGCACTGGATGAATTTACCAAGTGCAAAACAATCAAAAAAGTCTCTGAACATCTCAACCAGGAAAATAAAACTCTCAGCGGGCATGAAGTAAGGAAAATAATAGGTTTTTATACTGGCAATTACCTGTTTAATCACCACCTAACAAAGTGGGAAAACTAAGACAGAATCCTCCTGATGTTACCATGAATCAGCAGATATAAAGATAACAACATATCTTATGTGACTGCAAATTATTAGCCTGGAATGAGACAGTTATCTTGGAATGGTAACGCTTTGCAAAATAATCATAGAGGAATCCTGGAAAATGTCCAACTTCCTTTCTGGAGTATTGAGAAAATCACATTAGGGAAATGGAAAAATAACAAAATCTCATCAAATTAATAAAACATATCAATGTAAAAAAGACTAGATATTATTAGACAAAAAATATGAAAAAATAACATACGTCTCTTGCTTGTCTTCTATCTTGAATTAGTTTCCCTTAATTAATATTTTATATAAAGAGAATAAAGGTACATTTTTAATTATATAATTAAATAAATTTAACAATAACTTTATTACTTTACCATAAATACATTTGAACACATATCAAACAACAAATTAAGTTACATAATATCAAACAATTTATTCACATTGTTTTACAAAAACTCTTTATTAATACTTAAATAGTCCATTTAACCTCATTTTATTATTTTTAAATGTATTCTTTCCATTCTGAAATATATTTATAACAATTTTAACAACCATAAACTATATGGTTTATAATATCAGATTAGTCTATAAAGCCCTCATTGGCATGTGGTAAGATTGAGGGTAACACAGAAGGATATAAAAGTCTCATAAAGTATATTTGATTACATGTTAAAACACTATTTACATCTAAAATACTGTCGATTTTTAAGAGCTTAATGAACTAAATATCATACACTTAATTTGATAACAAATAAAATAAAGTAATTAATAATATTAAACACTTAAAATAACAATTGTTAAAGGTTTTAACTATACATTTAGAAGATACAAATTATTTTTCAAAAAGAGTATATTTTTATTATTTGGAGATCGTGAGGTGCGGTCTGGTGTGAGGTAGATCACTAAACACCACACATATATTTTTATTGTTTCTATTGTCTTGTTTAAGCACTTTATATATGGTTTTAACCAGAAACAATTGGACTGTATCACAATTATTCTATGACGGCACTGTAATCAACTTCAATGCTCCCCTGAAATGAAATACAAAATTATTAAGCAATATTTCCAATAATATTGGGGACAATAATAAAGAGTATTACTTTTACATTTGGTGAAAGGTTTTCTTCTCCGTTGTCATTGAGAGCAAGAAGTTTGTTATTAACTTCACGCAACATTTCTCTTTCTTCCTAATATGTTTTAATAACAATGTTCATTACATATCTTACATACTTATAAAGCTAAATAATTCAAATAATGTGAACATCCTACCTTTATGTCTTTTAATTTTTCTTCCAACATTTTGTATGATTTTTTCAATGAATTCAGCTCAAGCAACTCTGTCTGCAACTCTGAACACTTTATATGTGCTTCATTAAGTTGTGCACAAATATCATCTGAAAAAAAAACACACCCACACCAATACAGCATTATTTGTTGTAAAAAACGATTTTTCTGTGAAAGTTCAGTCTTAATTACGAGTTTATTATTTTTTACCATAATCCTCATTTAACATTTGGATTGTTTTTCTCAGAGCATTGATTTCTCCTTCAGCTGTTGCAACCAACATTTCTTTCTCTTCGTTGTTTTGCCTCAGAAATATTTTCCAGCGCAAGTTGTCAACGTTGTTCATGAGATGGTCGAAAGTATTTGTCAACCCACTTCGGTCTGAAGCTATACTACTGTAGGAAGAAACATCTCTGCTGGTACTCTGGAAAAAAACATATCCTAAAAAGAACTGCAATTTATGCGATATTTGGTATAAACATTCAGTAGTGAGTTGATCAATTGTCAGGTATTAATGATAATATATATTTTTCAGTGATGCAAGTTCGACTTATAATAGTATTGCAATTTTTATCAAAATATTGATCAAATCATTTCTACACTTTAATTAGTTTATTAATGAGACATAAAAAGTAAGCACTCACATCATCCTCAGTTTCAGAATTTTCACTAATACTGTGTATGGTTTCTTCTTTTTCTGATTCCTGATGGTCAATTCTTTCATTCTCTATTCTGATAATTCAAAAACTTTGTATTAATACAAATAATAGTTATTATATTAATTACAGTTATTATTCTAATTATTAATTTAAAAATTTTCTAAAGTAATGTTCAAATTGTATTAACTTAAGTATAAATAAATAAAAATTATCAGACTATTAAGAATAACTAGTATTTATAGATGTAATTTGGTTATTACTATTTTGGCTGCCTATCCTAATTGGATTGATTGATCTAATCACAGTGATCGGTAACAACCCAATTCAAGTCCGTTACCCCACAGACCATAGAAGGGAACCTTATGATTTACAGATGTTGAAATTTAGTTGTTTACAATCATCCTAGTCCACCTGTTTTTAATCTGTCAAATGGTTTTTTGGCATTTTGCCATCAATGATCGGTTTACCATATTTTACCATACCAGCTTTTGGTCTGTGTTTTTTTTGCTTACAAGGTAACTGCTAAAAAGGCAGAAACACGACTGCAGACCAAAAGACGGATGGTTAGAGGCAAACAGATCTCAGAAATAAATCTTACAATTTATAGATTGTTAAAGAATACTTAGATTGATAAAAACAACAATAGCATACCCTTCTGATGGTGGATTCTTTTTATAACAGGCTTTTGATGGTGATTTTTTTAAACATTTATGAGCTTGAGCATGAAACCGGCTTTGTTGAAGTAACTGATGTGTCAAAACACTTACCTGGAAAATATTATCCACAATATATGATGAACTATGTAAATAATATAAATTTTAACAATTTTCTTTTCAATTAAAATTACTTTAGTTACAAGTTATCTTAATTTTAGCTTATGAATTCACCTTATCCATAAGATATTTATTTCTCGCCTGAATATCTTTAAACCTTATGTCCTCTAATGTCGGTGTTGCACTGTATCGATCCTTATGATTTGTATTTGCATTTCCGAACAGAATTTCTAACCTGAAATAGGTGTGTTGTTGAGTATACACAAATATAACAATTATTAAGTGTTTACTAATTAAAAAAATCAATAATGAAAAATTCACTCATGATATGATACAAAAATATATGATGCAAGAATCTATAGAATAGAACAACATTCACCTGTGAGTAAATTTTATAACAATAATCAGTGAAAAATATTGCTTCCTGTTTTACGAGTATGCTTAACATCCAACTACACGTCAAGTGTCATTAAACCACTTTACAATATTTTTTCTCATATTATTCTCAATTAAAAAGCTAGGCTGTACCAGCATTCAAACCCAGAACTGCTTGAGTGGCTAATAGTTGGACACCTTAACCGCTTGGCCACCATGGTCCCACGAAGAATATTTCTGAAGAAAGAACTTAAAAGAATGTAATACAATTGTCAAGGGACAATTTCATTTATGCCTTTCATATAACAGGGCATCAGTGGAAAAGATGACATATATTACAAAAAGCTTACAAGCTTTTCTTCTCTTGCCATATTTTATTCCTGGTTGGAGTAGTATGTAGGAATAATTGGGTTTGGTGATTTTTCCTCATTAGCCAACCACTGAAAAAGGTTGTTGAAAGACTGTCCACACCAAACAATCTCTAATGCCCTCTAAATCTCTTAACTCCAAGTATCCAAAGTTCTTCTCCAGATTACCCTTTGGATGGTCAGTAAACATTTTTTAGCACGTTCCTTTGTTTCTCCATCCTCTTAAGGTAGCTCAAGCAGCTACAATTAACCAATTCTATTTTTTTTTTCACAATACAAACCTCTTAGCTCCTGATCTTGGGCCTAATCATTCATATTCAATATCTTTTATAATTATCAACATTCCTGGACAGCTGCTCAAAATTAAGTAAATACAGGGGTCGAAACAATGAATGATGAAATCTTAGCTTGAATGCCAACCTTAATTCCTTGTCAGTGACAACTCTTAAGTATTAAAAGCTCTGAACTACTCCAAAGTTTTTCCAATGCTGGGTATACAACTTTTTTTAGTGACCGTTTTTGTGTCATCGATTTTACATTACTGGGGAATGTAAAGGGGTTGCGTTAGGTAAGGTCAGGCCACATATCTGTGTGTGTGTGTGTCACATATTACATATAATATACAGTTAAAACAGAAATTGTTTCGACAATGTATCTACATGCATTAGATACTTCACAGCAACACCCTTCAGTTGTGTTAATTCAATAAGTTTCTTAGAGAAAACAAAATGCAGCAGCTATTTTCTGAAATGGTTCCCTCTTTATCCTGTCTTACGACGGACTTATTCTTAGTCCCAATATAACAGTTTCTTTCACAGTTCAAAATGCTTAAGCTACATAAAACAGAAGTGGCAATGACCCTTGGAGACTGCTTCAGCAAACTGAAGATCAAATGATCTATTGCGGAGTATTTGGAACCAGTGTCTAGCAAAGTTCTTGCAAGGGAATGAAATACAACTTATGGTTCGATATATTGGCTGTCGATGAAAGTAAATGGAAGAAAGCTCAGATGGTAGAATTGAAGGATTATACTTTTGTAAATAGTGGTCATAAAATGTTCAGTGTAGACGTTATTAATATGAAAACTTTAAAATATTCCGTTAAAAGATTTTAAATGAAACTTATATGGTGCATACATAACATGAAGTTTCAGTTTGTTGGAAAGAAAACAATCTACTCTCCCAGTTTCTTTTGATGTAAAAATTGACATCACTATTCAAATAAAATGGAGGTATAAACAATCAGTAGTGCATTTTTTTAAATAACAATTTTACCTACATCATATGTTTAATTATAATAAATCATGGCTTACCTTTTTATCTCTTTAGACTGGTTTTGCACCGTCCGTTTAAGAATAAGATTTTCATTCACTATTTCACAGTAAGCACCCTCTAGTTCTGTCCTAGTCATTTTACTAACCCCATTATATAATCGGGCTGAAACAAAATCACTGACTCAGCACTTACACATGCACAGTCTTATTTCTGTACTCAAGACCCCTCGGTTCACCAAATTAAACCATAACCGATTATTTTTAAATGTAGGAATAAGGCCAATTTGAAAGAAAAGAAAAACACTCACTTCACCAAGCTTTCATAGAATATAACCCTTTCATCCGGACTTTAAAAATATAGTTATTTCACAAGGTTAAGAAATATGAATATCTACCTACAGTATCGAAAGTTATGGTTTAAAACTTATTGAATTTATGAGGTGACAGTTGAACATGATCTATAAGCTATAGTTTTTCTTTTCTTCCAAACTGGCTTTATCCCTGCATTTTCAATAAAAAGTATAATATTAAAAGCTGATATCAATTATATTGAATGAAATATATTTATAACAATTTTATGATACATAAAGTATATGGTTCATAATCTAAGATTAGTCAGTATGAACTACTTTACTGACTTATCTTAGATTATAAACCATATACTTTATGTATTTTAAAATTGCTATAAATGTATTTTATTCAATATAATCGATAGCAGCCTTTAATATTACAATTTTTTTAAGACAAATAAAAGAAAGGCCTATTGAACTGCATTCCACATTATCATTTACTTCAAGATAGTTTGTGAAGACTTGATTGGCATGTGCCATTCCTCGGCTACATATAGAGAGTGAGTGAGAATGCCACCTGATATGACAGTTGTGCTTGAGCAAAGTATTTCGATGTCCTGTTCCAATTGGAGGTAACAGGGTTGTTTTGATATATGTGTTGTTTTATGTACACTAGTGTGTGTTGAGAGTGAATGTATTTATTTGCGTGAATGTGTAGTTTGAGAGGGCTGATTGTGGAATATTGAGAACCCATCGATCCTCAATAGATTAGTTATATGAAGTCGAGGATGATGGATGAATATCAATTACTCCTTTACCCTAAATTAGTTAATCGTAGGTAAATAGGAAAGAAGTATTAAAAAAATGGGAGTGTGGGTTTGGATTTAGGAACTGATTACATTGGGGGCTAAACTGACCTAGCTGGTTGAATATGACCGACTGCCAACATCTGGAGTGGGTGTATGAATGTACGTAAGTGCACTACCAAACAACTTGAACCAAGGTCATTTCAACCCTCAATGCATGTAGTTTTAACATAAGCACACTCATTCTTAAATACATTGTCTCTTATTTACCTTTCACTCACGTAGAGGATGGAGTACTAGATATTCCTCCATCACCCTTTATCACACAAAGACAACTATACTTACAATACCTAGACTGATTGAGGGTCAATAGCTCCTTGATATTCTACTATTGGCACTCTTGTCTACACACATTCAAGCATATAAATACATTATGAAAAAGTTTAAACATCTATCACCATCTTTAGTATATAAATTTAGATGACAAAACTTTTAAAAAGTATACCTTTTTGTACATTTGAAATACATATTATGGAATGCAGCCAAATAGGTCTTTAAAAACAAAAATAAATAAATAAAAAGGCAAAAAAAGAACTACATTTTTTATGTTGTGTATGTCTTATTAAGTGGCGCATGCATAATTTTATGCACGTGTTAAGACTCAACATCAATGTAATTAAATCGTTAATAAACAGGTTGTTTAATTATTTACTTTTGAGAATAAAATAGAAGTGAGTTTGGTGGATTTTTTTTTTTTTGTTCTGGGGATGAGTGTGAAAACAATACACGTTTTTGTCATTGCAATAAACGTGTCTGTAAAATATTAAAATATTATTTTGCAACTAAGTTCCACATAGTATTGAAAACTAGCAAAATTAGAAGTGGGCTGACCGGCTTATTTTTAAAGCTTTAAAATATAAATTCTATTACATTATTAAGTTATTTTAATGAGTACTTACATTTCATATTTGTTTATTGTTTCAACTAAAAAATATGCCCACAAGGATGACATATACTAGCTAATATCACAAAAAATCAACTCCTGGATGTAAGCCAACGTCGGTAATCAAACCCACGCCTCATTTTGTTGTGGTAGCGTTGCTAAGGAATGTGAATAACTGAATATTAGTTTATTAGCTTTGTTCGTGCCGGAAGGGAACCCTATCGTAATGATTCGGGTGAATTGTGTTAGAAAACCTAGGATGGATTAGAAAAGAAATAATAAAAAAACACATCGCAGTCAATATTACCCAGTCATTTACCTTAGGCGCAAGTCGGTGTCAGGAATTAATAAACAGACCACTTTGGGCTTTTTACTCCTGAAAGTAGACACGGGAACTTAAATTGAATTATACAGATATCACACTCAAGTCCGAGAGGAAAAGTAAAACGACGATAATCCATTAAGTCTCCGTCTATCACAAAAAACTATGGAACAATGCCGAATTTAAATGTGTTTGTATGGAAATTAGACATTTAAAAAATTTTCATCGCTAATGTTATTGTGATCGTTCATTAAAACTTTTAAACCTTCAAACGCGATTTCCCGAAAGTTACGATTGTGGATAAATTAATTGTTGGCAAGCCGTGAGGATCATTGACCTCAGGGTTTTGGCAGTCCGGGGACAGATCTCTGTCTTATCCGACCTCCAACGCACACGGTTTTTGAATTTAGGCCCAAACATTCTTTCCTATATAATACCATGTATTCAAATAGGGTGGTGGAGTACTCAATATCCACCACCACACTCTCTCTAATAAAAACATACGATCTCAATATACATTAATATCAAGTTCTATATACAATAAAACAGGCCTTTTTACTCTGAAAAACAGAACAAGGGACCCAAATGCTCGCTGCCATGCTCACAGTTTTCGTATTGGGGGGCATTCCTACACGCTCACTATATGGCACCCTTCAATTAAGTGAGGCACATTGAGTAAGCTTTTTCTACATACCGGACACATAAGCGGGCTTTATCACTCAAAAAGCGACTATGTTAACATCGACTTTCTTGTACTGCCCACATTTACGCTTACAAATACATTCTAACGAAACTGTTAACACAGGATACATAATCAAACTTTTTATATAAACAATAATATCATTAAAAAAAAAACAAAAAAACCTATAAGTAAGAGGCAACCTTTGTTTCCTCCAAAAATCAGAACAGGGGACTAGAGATTCCTACTCGCTCCCTATATGAAGTCAAGGACTAACACCATTCAACTAAGAGGGAAATATCAAGCACCAAATCTATTCATGCCAGTCACATACAGAGTTTTTGGCTTAAAATAAAATATTCATGTGTCAACAACAACTTCCTTGTACTACACAAACAGTTAACTCAAATACATCCATCACCAAACTTTTTATATAAACAATAATAACATTAACTAACAAAAAATCTATAAGTAGAAAACAACCTTTGTTTTCTCCAAAAATCAGAACATGCAACAGATATAGAGGAAAGGCACTTTTCAATTAAGTGAGACACAAACACGAACTTTCTCCTAAAAAGTAAGTCTCTATGGGTCAATCTAGTATGGTCTCCTAGTATCCTCCAAGAGCAACTTTGGCTGTGCTATTGATACGCCAGAGCTTCTCTGCTGATGCTGACACTTCCTTTTAAAGTGCTGGGGCCCAGACAACAACTGTCCCAAACAACACACATGGGCTTTAGTCTAAAAGTGTCTGTGTGTCGACCTTGCAAGGCTATTCTTAATCAGACAAGGATCATCCCTTTTTTATGGTTCAGTTCCTCAGAGGGCTACGGCTGAAATATGTTTGTTGGACGATAGGGTTTGCAATGTAAAAACTCGGTTCTCCTGCGATGTTTCGGAGAGAGAGAGAGAGAGAGAGAGAGAGAGAGAGAGAGAGAGAGAGAGAGAGAGAGAGAGAGAGTGATGGCACAAGAGGGTTCATGGCCAATAAGTGCCAAACTCTACTTGCTCAATTTATTGGCTTCTTTGTGCCATCTGCCCTGTGTGCCATGGTGCCCAGACAGCCCAGATTTTTTACCCAATGTCTGACAGGGCCCAATACAATCCCAAGCCCTCAGTGCCTCCTGGCTGTCTGACTAGATGGCTATTCTTCTCTTAACAATACTTAGCCTTGTAATCTACATGGCACAATGTTCAGTAGCTACAGTCTCTGCTTGAAAGACAGTGACATATTGCCCAAGGCTTATGTGAATTCTAGTCCTTACATTATTACTATAAATACCATCCTATGACCAAAACTTGGATTTTAAGCTATTTGGATACTAGATAGGGTTGGTATTAACTTATTATTATTGATATTTTTTATAGAGAGAGTATTTTAGCATTTTCACAAGAAGCCCAAGTTCTTAATAAATGTTTATTTTCTCTGTCCAGAACGTATCAAGCTAATTTTTTATTTTCAAATGTATCCAGTATCTACCACTTAATGGAGCTGCTGCAGGCATGAGTGGTTTGGTCTGAATGTTTTTGTGCGAGGAGTTGCTTAGGAGAAAGGTACACCCCGTGCATATGGCTCCTCAGATGGTGGGTCATTGATGTTCTGGGTGGCATTTCCTTGGATACCCACACCGAATTGGTTGTTGTGCAAGAAAGATCTCTAACTTTACGAAGATACTCACATGAAATAATTGAAGAATATGTAGTGCCATTTGCCCGCCGCCCACATTAGAATAATGTGCAGAATAATGCCAGGCCACATAGAGCATGGACTGTGGTTGACTACCTGAATGAGTTTGGAACTGAGTGCTTGGTGTGGCCAGCTTGAAGTTCAGATTTGAACTCAATGGAACACATTTTGGGACAACTTATGTGGCATGTATGATGGCAAAACCAAGGTCCTAACAACCTAGAAGAGTTAGAAACGGCTGTTCTTGATGAATGAGAAAGAATTACTCATGATCAGAAATGTTTTCCAAGGAGTGCCAGGGGTCGAAATACTCAGTATTAAAGGGCACAAAAATGTTCTTTACTGAATAATTGTTTTTCTAATTAGGTAATCATTTCTTTTTAAATATCTTATTTTTACAACAAAACCTATTTTGGTAGGCAAAATAAACCTAAATACCTTAACATTTAAGAGATTATATTAACATTTATTTTGTCCATCAGTGGTGCTTTAATTTTGTCATTATTTTGGAACTGGTTATAACTCACTAGATGATGATTTTTTAACCCTTGCTCTAGAACAAACTGGTCCAACTTGGTCAAGAATATCTCCAAAATTAAAACTATCCTCATTAGTCCTTGTGTTGTACTTTTTTTAAATAATCCTCTGGTTGTTAGCAGCTGAAATCCATAATATCGAGAGAAATAGTGTGAAAATTTTTATTATCCAAACTCAAAGAATACAATTGTATGTTAAGCACAACCTGTACCGAAGAATCTTACAACTTGTTTATCAATCAAACTGAAAAAGCCATGGAAACTGTTTATTTAAAATTGCAATATATATATAAATAAAAATTAAAAATTTCTTCTTTTTTTGTACTTTTAGACCTTCATTTTAGCTTAAGTTAAAAATTATTAGTATAATACAGATACAGAAAATAAGGATCATTACACTTTTGTCATCAAAATTTATCAACGTTTAGCATTTCTTTCGGTAAGTAATATAAGCATATAGTGTCTTATACCAGAAAACTAGTGTATTGTACCTCCAAAAAAGAATTTATGAATAATTTAAGGCATAATAAAGTTGTATATTGAATATAAGAAGAAAATAACATTTTAAAGTTTATGTTTTTGGTTGTACATTGCATCAGTATTTGTGAAACTGATTTAATAACAATTGCTTAAAATCTTTGCTCAAAGTACTTGCTGCAAATGTTCAAAGCAGGACTGCTTTTTAAAGTAAATCAATTTTGAAGATGTTTATATCAGTTGTTTGTTAACTTTGTGTCAGAGCATGAAGTTCTAATGTAAATAATACAAGAATGACAGATACATTAATATTAAAATTGGTAACTTTCGAAAACCAATGATCTGAAACGAAATAAAGTGTGAAAGCAAAGCGAAAGAACCTTTCACTTCAGCAAAATTCATTTGGAAACAAAATTAAAGTCTACTGTTTTAAAACAATAAGCTTTTTATCAGCAGAATATAAGTTCTTTCAGTATTATATCACTAATTCAGTATTATTACTATTCACTACCTAATAGTGACTGCCACAGACCATGGCTATTACTCACCAGACCAACACAAGCAGCATCCCACAAGGGAGCATTCTTGGTCCCATCCTGTATACTGTTAATACTGCTGACTTTCCTAAACATCCCAACACAATCATTATTATACAAAACATACCACAATTCAGTCTTCTAACCTGAATTTGAGTTTCTTCCTTGTATTTATCAAAGACTTGTGCAAAAATGGGAGAATAAATGAGTAAAATTGTACAAAGAGTACATGTACATCCACTCACTTATCAAAGGAAGAGGGAGTGGTGCAGGAATCTACATACCAAAATTAGGAATCAGCATCTCCTCCCCTCTTGGCAATAACACCTCCGTTTTTCAGGCGGCAATCTGGGTCATCAATGTGTGTTGTAGAACACGTATGGAAAATAAAATTAAGGGAAAAGATATTAAAATCTTTTCTGACAGTCAGGCTAGTCTTAGGGCATTACAAAAAGATTTGTCAACCTCACGACTGGTGGAGGAAACTATAGATCTTATCAATAGGATCTCTTTCAGGTTTGAGAATAAAGTGACCCTTATTTGGATACCAGCACATAAAGGACACCATGGCAATGAAAAGGCGGATGGCCTAGCCAAAGAAGGTTCGAATACTGTGTTTGTCAGGCCACAACTGGTATTACCTCACTCTATGAGCACAGCGAAAGAGAGTATCAATAACTGGGGCATGAAACAATTCCTTAGGGAGTGGAATTTATCCCCTGGACACAGGCAATCGAAAGAGTTTGTTAAGGCGATCAAACCAGCAGAATCGAAATGGATATTCTCGATCTCAAGGAAGGGAATTAGGAGGCTGATAGGTATTCTGATGGGCCACTGCCCACTGAGAAGACATCTCTTCGTAATGGGTATCCTACCAGATCCCTTTTGCCGCTTCTGCGAAATAAAAGAAGAAACGGCAAGGCACTACCTCACAGAGTGTGATAGGTATGCTAGGTCTAGATTTGAAATCTTTGAAGGAGAGGACATCACCAAATCACTCCCCGAAATAAAATGGTCCAAAATCTTGGGGTTTGTGAACAAGTCCAAGAGGTTTATGCAGGACATGTGAGCTGACCAAGTCCCGGACCTTTTAGGGATGGGGTACGAGTCTACCCAGGCATTTAACCCCTCGGGTCTTGGTCGCCCACCCTGCATAATATATATGTATGTACATCCACTCAAGTCGATACTTAGGACTTAGACAGCAGACTGACATCTTAAGAGACAACTTAACAGAAGATTGAACAACTACAAGACTTTTAGAACTGCAATTGTTTTGACTTTTAAAGCTTAAACCAACTTATTTTATACACATTACTGCAACCATTCTGGACATACAGAGTGGAACTGTGGGGTTCTACCAGGCTATCAAATGAAGCACATCAAATCCTTCTAATTAAAAGTTCTCAGGAAAATTGTTAAAGCTTACTACATCACTAACCTAACTATCTGCGATGACCTCAACACTCCCTTTGTCAACAAACTGATCTAATCCCAATTCCACAAGTTCTATACCAAGCTTTTGATCCATCCTAACCCTACTACCCAAGACTTTTCTCTACTTTCCCACCCTGAGAATCTACCACGTTGCTTTAAAATGATGATGGCTTTGAGACCTCCTCGCCCCTTAATCGGTGGCAGTATTGGCTGGTTTCTCTTAGCCTATGTTCTCCAGGTGCAGTGCTGGCTGTAGTGTCAGTGTTGAGGAAAAAAACATATATGCACCAATTAAATGTATATGTCTGACCTCACGAATCTAACAAATTACATATGTAATATATTTCTTAACTTAAAGGCATGGGTAGAAGTTCTCTTATGGGATTTTGTCATCCTTAAAAGCATGATTCTAACTTTGCTTGAGGATGCTTCTACTCATGCTCTGTAGTTTTGTCATTGATCCTCCTCTGTACTTCACTATAGGTACAGAAACGCTCTTGTACGCATTGTCTGAAGACTGAAAGGCTGTCAATCTTGTAGAAAAATAGGCAGTATTAAACACCTTTAATGACTATTCTATCATTATATATGTTAATGATCAAGTAGATGAAGTCTTGCAATTTATTTGTGTTGATGGTATTCAAATTGAGTTAGTTGATGGGTGCTTGACTATATTGCTCCTGTACCTTTGGTATACCAACAGGTAGGACTTTACTTGATGTAGGGAGAATTTCTTATATTTATATTTATTTGTATATTCCCTTTTTATAATTGATCTGTCCATTTATATTCTAATCCCACTAGAATTTCTTCTCTGCTTACGTTGAATGGTTTTCTTTAGAGCACTTGTTATAATTTGATGGAGAGAGGCAGCTCAAAGTATTTTCTCAATACTAGTAAATTTGTTCACATCTTTTTTCTTTATTTAGTTTTCTGCTGAAGAGGTTCATTTAATTTGACCATTGCCTTCTTTTGTATTTATGCTGTATGTGGAAGAATTGAGCAAAAGGATAAACGAGGGAGTTATTTGTTGCGATATACACAGGGTGACAATTTGATGTGATATTTAAAGCAACTAATGCTATGTTGCTTTTGACGATTAAATTGGAATGTTTCTGTAAAGTAGTAAGTACATTCAAATTACAACCTTTATTTATTATTAATCAATTCAAATATTTATTTATGCTGGAAATACAAATGCTAAAATGCTCAACTTTTACTTTTTAGAACATTTTATTAGCAAAAATACAAAACAATGCCAACAAAAAGAGCATGAACAATTTAACACTAAAAAAAGAAGTGTGAAAAAAGTTGTGTTAACCAAGATGACAGCGGATGAATTTTACACGTTATTTCCTGCTACATAAAAGGAGCTGGGAAAAAATTCCCAATTGGACAGCATAACCCATAAGACAGGTATTATATTATTTTGAGAATTTGTTATTAACATGTGCACTGATGTGTTGCACCATAAAAATATTGTATGTGGAAAACAGATTTTTATCCAGATTTGTGTATAGAGCAATATAAAGTTTGCTTCAATAAGCATGTAGTAGATTACAGAAGAGTAATGCCCTGAGAAATTAGGTTCTCCATTAATTTATGATATATATATATATATATGGTGGACGAGTCAGGCAATTCCAACCCCTGGATCTGACAACTGAGATCCAGCCCTTTGACACTAAAATTTCTATAAAAAACATGATTAAAAGGAAGTAGCTATATTGATAGGCTGGATCAGCAGAGGAGCTCTCTTATATCACGGTGGCCCAGCATTAGAGAAAGCACGAGCATGGTTGCATGTAGAGAAAGCTTACGTGTCCCTCTTATTGAAGGATGTCATTCCTTGACTTCATATGGGGAGTAGGAATCCACTCAATATGAGAATTTGAGTACAATACATTATGAGCACTATTTTGTTGCATATAGTACATGATGGATATATCTTTTTGTGTATATTAAGATTGAATGTGTTTATCATCATGAATAGTGTGAGAGGGTTGATGAAGGAATATCGAGTACTCCACTACCCTATTTGCGTGAATGTAAATAGAAAATAGTGTATTTAAGAATAAAAGAGAGTGTGAGTGTGCCTAAGTTTAAAACCAGCATACACTGAGGGTTAAATACCTTAGCTGTTGTCAGCTCCTGGGGCATAACTTTAGCAGCGAGGTGGACCGCGGTAGCCGAGTGGTTAGCATGAGAGACTCTCACACCGCGGTCGTGGGTTCGATTCCCACCGTCGCCTCTGGCCCTTTTTTCACAATAACCCCCCCAAATTTGAACACACATATACGAATTGTCACATGGCTAATATGCATAGTTCATAACGCAAAAAAAAAAAAAAAAAAAAAAAAAAAAAAAAAAAAAAAAAAAAAAAAAAAAAAAAAAAAAAAAAAAAAAAACCTAGCCTCCAATATCATCAATGTGGGTGTTTCTTGCACATAAGCTCGATTCTGTATGTGCAAAATTAAGCTCATATAAATTAATCGACTTATTAGAATTTTTCAAATGTTTATCTTTGTATTAAAAAAACAAAAATATTAATGAAGATATTTTACAAATTAAAAGGAAACATAAACTGATTTGAAGAAGCCACTAACAATGGAAGGGTGTAAATTCATGCTTGCAGGCCAAGGTTGCTTTTGCGATAATTGTCAAGGAGGATTCACAGTTGATGAAGTATGTAAATCATTTTATTTTATTTCATTATTAAATTTAGAAAAAATATTTGGTCTTAAATTTTAAGAATTATTGTTTAGATTTAAATATCATTACAAAACCAGGAAATTACTTTATTCTTATGGTCTAGTTCTATTCAATAATTTTAAAATGATAAAAAACAGGTTTTCATTTTTTATTTTGTAGGAAGACAATCCAACACCAGCTAAACCTTGTGCCAATGAAACTGCGACAACATGCGGGGTAAGTTGATAAAAAAATATCAATAAGAAATTAAGTAGAAATAATAAACTTTTATTATTAAGCTAAATACAAAATGATTATATTTTATTAACTGATATCGATTGCTGTGTTTCAGATAGTCGTTAATACACTTGCTTCAGATATTTCAGCACAAGATCTTTCAGAAAAAGATATTTCAGCAAAGAAAGTTCCAAGTAGGACGAAACTCAAGGAAGCCGAATCAGAAGAGGCAATTTCTTGTGATGAACTGAGTACAAGGCAAAAGTCTATTACATACCAACAAGAAGTTTCAGTGTATGACACAACACTTACTGGTGCTGGTACTGAAGAGGGTGATATTATTGAACCGGACCCAGGTGCTTTAAAAGAACCACCTCCAGAATGTGCTGATGTGATTGGAAAACAATTAGCTGATCTTGGCGATGATTATCCACTACGGCCTACTGTTGTATGTAATATAATTTTTTATTAAGATTATAATGAATGAACCGTTACAAACCAACTTTAAATTTTAGGATGTATGTGAGGATTCACAATTTACATATAAAGATAAATCTGGAAAGATCAGGGGTCTCAGCTTGGGAGGTACTGGTGGAGCAGTAAGTAATTTATAATTAAACAAACCTATTGTGAGTATTTATATTAGATTAAACATGTATTAATATATTCAAAATTTCATCTGTTATGAGCTTAAACTGTAAAAAGTTATATTTTTACAGGTCTTTGATCCGTATCTTTTGGCAGATAGAACTCTAGGATGTATGCTTTTAAAAAAACTTGGTATCTGTCTGTGTGGACAAGATGAGGATGTTGGAAATGTGGTAAGTTCTTGGTGTTATTAGTAACAAATTTCACCACAGTCACTCCTAATTTATCAAGTATTTTGATATGTTATTCAGTTGTGATTCAATAAAAGCTAATTCTGGTTTCTTTTACATGCATTTTTTGTAAAAGACATTAAGATTAAAATATTTAGGAGTGCACAAATGCAAACAACGAACAATAAAAAAAATTTAAATCAGATATTCGGATTCAATGGACAACCCTGAATGACTAAAAAAGATGTTTTAATTTGTAGGTGTACAAAAGTGTTGATTTTGGAATTGATTACGCCTCGGTTTATTACCCTCCACCTTGTAAAGCTGCAAAAAAAGGCTTGGAAGCAGATTTCACGATGAATATTGTAAATCTGGTTCTATACCCTGCAACAGCAGAGTATTACTTGTAAGTACAGCCTGTATTTAAAATCTTTTTTCTGTATTCTAGAGTAAATCAAATTATACTTACATTTGAATGTTTTGTTTGTAGGAGAGATGGAGGTGGGCAAATATTTCTGACATGGAGTTACATGTCCAATCCTGAACCTCACTTTTCACAGTTAGTCGAAATTTGTGATCCTGTGTTTTGTACACAAACAGTGTATTCTGGAAACGCCACTCGAGGTTTTCTTCATTATCTGGCTCATGTTAGTACAAAATTCAATTTTAGAACTGAAATACTTTTAGTTTAATAATGTGTTAAACTGGCAGCACTAATGCTCATGTGAATGAAGACATTATGTCTGTTTAATGCTAGTACATTTTTTTAGTTTTAGGGCTGGCAAAGTACAGTGAACATCGCCAGCCCTCTCTTTCTTAACTTTTCTTGACTTTCTCGTGTTATAATCCTTCTAATGAAACCATGAAAAACTGGCAAATAGAATGGCAGAATCTTGCTGAGAACAAATTAAGAGCAATAAAAAAGGAAGTTAAAATGTGGAATACATCTAACCGTCAGTCAAGGAGAGAAGAAACAATTCTGGCTAGATTGAGAATAGGACATACTAGGTTAATGCATAGTCCTTTAATGTCTTAAGAACTATGTTCAATCTGTAATGTTAGGCTAACCATCGAACCATTAAACATATTTCCACCTCATGCAAGAAATTTGCTCAAACTCAAGCTAAATATAATCTTGAAGATAATTTAACTGATGTACTAAAATATGACCAAACGACAATAGACAATTTTTATTTGATACGGGACATCTGAAAGATGTGACAGTGTAACAAATGTGAGAAGCCTGGGTGGAGAGCCATTGGCCATTGCTGGAGGGTTGGGAGGTTGGTGCAGCTGGGGCGGATGATTGGAAGGCGGCACCTGGCATGTAAAACGACTGCCATGAATATAGAAGAAAAGAAAAAATTATGGAGAGATATTGGTCTTGGGCATCTCTTCCATTGCCTTGTCCCCCTGCCTCCTTGATGCTGGAACCACTGGCCCTCAGCTCAGCGGGCATCACTTAATATACCTAGTCCAAAATAAATATTCCAGATAATTTCAAGGCATCCTAACCTATTATGGGTTGAAAATCTTACTAATTTGTTTTCCTGTTTCTCCAGTCCAGTTATGATGTATGATATTAATATAACTAACTCTCTCTTTTTTTAAATTTTATTGCTAGCCTCTCTGTACCTCAGATCCTCGTCAAAGCTTGGCAGTAACAACTGAATTTGCTTTCTTCTTCAAGGCCATACCTTGATCCAGAGGTTTGGTATTTCTTTCTTTGCAGACTTAGTTGTTTTGCAGTCTGTTATTATGTGCTCTGCCATGATAAATTCTCCACCCCATATGCACTTAATCACTTAATGTTCTCACCCCCATTAGAAAGTGTCCGTGTAGTATAATCTTTCATAAAAATATTTAATGGAATATCTGGTTTTAAATCACTGTTAATAATTTACATAATATCTAATTAATTATCTATAAATATAATTATGTGTGTAAGACATAGATTAAAACATAAATTGACTTTAGATTTCTAATAATTAATTTGTTGTTTTAGCATGGCATACCAATAAAACTATTCCAATACAACAAGGGCAGGACAACTCTATTAGGAGAAGGTGTTATAAACACTCAACCTGTATTTCAATATCCTGGAAAACATGTCTACATAGTAACAAAAATTGTCGGAGGTGCAACAATAGGAATTCTCCGAGGCTGGTATGAGTTGGATTGTGTATTGGACTTAATATATGAATATTTGGATTATGTGAGTACATTCACAAAATAATTGATAAAATTATTAAAATGCATTAAAAATACACATTACACAGAGAGAAACACACATGCAATACACCATAAAACAGGATAATATAAAAAGTTTATTGCTAATAGTAATAGTCTTAATTCTACCCTTAGGCTAGAGAAGAGCATCATAGATATGCAATCTTGGCCGCTCACACTGGTCCTAGGCTGAGAAGAGTTGATGAAACTAAGTGTGTTATTTTAGATATTGAACATATAATTTATGTTACAAAAATATATTAAAAAATGTATTAACAATGCAATGTTTTAGATTTGTGTATCACAATCAAAGTTACATAAACTTTAATTTAAAATTTTCTAATCTTTCACAGACTTGGGTCAGGTGATGAGTGTATTACCAGGCATGAAGTCTTAATGGAAACGGAGCGCTGGATTTTAGATAAACAAATAAGAAAAGTAAATAACCAATTAGTAGGCAGTACACAACCATACCAACTTCCACCTGGTGAAGTGATTGTCCATTTGTAAGTACATGTTTGTTAATAAAATAGCTTTTATGCCAAATAATTCATGTCAATGTAGAAAAACAATTATTTGTTTTTTCCAGTCAAGACCTGGATGAGTGCAACTCTTATGAATATTCTAAGCGATTTGAAGTAAGTGGTAAAAGTTGATCAATTAATTTTAATAATTAATTATGTTAAGATTATAAAGTTAATCTTGATTTAATATTCTCATAAAAATATACTTTATAAGTATAAGGGGACAAAAATTATAAATACGACAAATAATAATTTAATTTGAGCAAAAATACATTAAAATTTCTGTTTATAACGGGTTTCTGTTCATTTTGAAACAAAAAGTTTCTTCTTATTTAAACTATAGAAATGTCAACAAATAAATCCAATCACATTAAAAAAAAAAAACATTAAAATTTATACAAAATACTGAGTGAGAGAGATAGAGAGAGAGAAAGTGAGAGAGATGGGAGAGGGGGATGAGAGAGGGGTGAGAGAGGGGAGAGAGAGAGAGAGAGAGAGTGAGAGAGAGAGAGAGAGAGAGAGAGTGAGTGAGTGCGAGAGAGAGGAAATAAACGTGAAATAATCGCAAATAGGCGCTTCCGGATGTTAAACCAGCACGACCAATCCGAATATTTGGTGTAGTCTATTTAAGCGCCTTGCTAACAAATTTGTACATATATATTTTGGGATCTTCTTCCGTCCAGGAGAGCTTATAGATATATTTTTGAACTGCGAATTCGAAAAAATTCACCAACATACCCACATAATGAGAGTAAAGGATTTTGTTCGAGTTAGAATTGTTGGCATGCTTGAATTCGAAAAATTGTACCAATTATGGGCAATTTGGAGGGAGAGAGAGAGAGAGAGAGAGTGAGAGAGAGTGTGTGTGTGTGTGAGAGAGAGAGAGAGAGAGAGAGAGAGTGAGTGGGAACATATTATATTATAGAGAGAGAGAGAGACTCAACTCATTGGCTAATGCAAGTAAAAAGTAAATTTACTTGATGAATAGAATTTATACACAAATATTAGTTTTTATAAACAAAAAAAGAAAAACATCTATAACCCTCATATAGGGTTACATGAAATGTATGTTTTTATTATTTTAGTAATTTATAAAATATTAAGGAGCTTCTTGTTGTTTACTATCAATATGTTTACAGATTAAAATAAGCAATTTTGTTAATCCTCTAATTTTTGTCTATATTGATTAGACCCTCAATTCATTACATAGTTTTTAGTATATCTTGAAATATGTACATGAAGACACACAGTTTTCATGCTATGTTCTTTTATAAGTTTAAACTCAGTGATTCGGCAGCTTGGGCTAAGAAGAAGAAGAAACAAGATACATCACTATTTTGTTTGTAGAAAGGCGTATTTACGAATAAACACTGGAAAAGTAAAAAATTTCAGTTTGTGGATACTTCATGAGCTAACTGAGCAGCTTGTTCGACAAAAAAAAAAAAAAAAAAAAAAAAAAAAAAAAAAAAAAAAAAAAAAAAAAAAAAAAAAACCGGATGGTGGTGTGTGGCTGGAGTCATTACATTTTGTCAAGATGTGAGACCATTACCTTGAAAATTGAATTGATTAAATTCATGAAAAACTTAGCAAAAAAATGTACAGTTGGTAAATTGGAAGGGTTCTTCGTACATTACAATGCCAGCCTTCATGTTTGGAGGGATGCCGTGAATAAATTAAAGGAACTGGGCTACAAAGTTCTTCTGCGTCCTATTGTCCTGTCTAGACTTCAGATTTTCACCTACTTAATTATTTAAGCAACAACATTATAAAGAAATTTTTTAAAAAATGATTCCTTTCCAAAGGGCGTTTTTTTGACTCTATTTCTTCTCAAAACTCTCAACTCAACTTTTGATATTTCACCACCCTCAGTGTTCCTGTCACAGTACTGATCTTGCAAGGGTAGGCAGACCAAAATGATCAGTACAGACCAATTCATAATGATATGGAAAATTTTGAAATGCTTCAACTATTATAATTTCTTGAATATACACTCTAGTATTATAGCTCTGCTTTTTATACAGGTTGTATTGAGACACATGATTTATTTAATATTTTAATTCAATTTATTTTTTTAACTTTTTCTAACTATTATATTTTTACTTTTTAGGCATATCTGTTTAGCGATGGAGGACAACTTATCCGACCTGCTGGTAAAAATAATTACACAATAAGCTTTGTGAACTATTAATTTACTGATTCACTTACAAAAAGTTCATAATATTTTAAGTTTTTGTTAATTTGATGTTTATCTACTTGTAAAATTAGTTAAATTGTTAAATAAGGTAAATCTAAACTGAAGATCCAATACACAGTCTATAATTCAACATAGAGTTTTTTTAAAAACTACTTCTAATGTGAATTTGTATATTTTCAGAGGTGTGTGAACCTATTCCGAGGCCATGTGATGCAGGTAAATATGTTAATTTCAATATTGTCATAAAGACTAGTTCAAACAACAAATTCAAGTATTTAGATGCTTCTGAAGAATATTATTATTACTACTAATAATAAATTCTTCACTTTGTAATGCATATAACAGAAACAAAATAGATTCTTGAAATGTTCACAAAAACTATAAACATACATAACAATGGATAGAATAATTGACAAAGCCAAATACCAGGTAACCAGAAAAGTCCATTTGGGTTTAAAGATTTTTGGTCACAAATAAAATTAGTTTAGAAATGATTATTAAGAGATCGTGAGATGCAGTCTGGTGTGATGTGGGTTTAGAAAAACATTTTCTTTATCATGCCGTTTTGATCTTTATTGAGATCATCTTCAGGGCCTGGGATACATTGTTTAAATTATACAATTACAAATAAGATATGAATATTAATCTATACAATGATGTAAATGTTACAGAAATTTTAGGTTTAATAAAAGTATTTGTATGTATTTGTACGTATTGTTTAAAAAAACATTTTCTTTATCGTACCGTTTCGATCTTTATTGAGATCATCTTCAGGGCCTGGGATACATTTTTTAAATTATACAATTACAAATCAGATATGAATATTAATTGATACAATGATGTATGTGTATGTTTAATAAAAGTATTTGTACGTACTCAAAGTGTGTTTTCTGTGTAGATCTGTCGCTGTTGTGTGTCGAGTTGAGAGTGTTAGTGAGATATTAATGTTTTTTGTTTATATATGTTTGATTTTGAAGAAGTGGGGAAGGAAGTAGGGATAGAAATTCATTTTTCTATAAGAAGTTGGCTTCTTTGAGGTGAAAGGGACCAACATTGGAAAAAATGGGTAATGGTTCTATATTACCCTTTTATGCCTATATTAAGCTATATTTATTTATTCATAACCTGTTTTTAAAGATATCTTTGTAATTTATAGGTTCATTATTATTTCAGTTTAAGGCTTAATGGTTAGTTCATGGGAGGTTCATATACTTATAATTTAATTTATTTTATATATTATTTATTTATGAATCTGTATTGTATAAGAAATATGTATTGTTGTTGATTAAATGATTTCTTGTTTATTACTGTAAAAAGATCAACCAAGCATACGTACTAATGTACATGCGTTGCATTTATTATCCAGTAAATGATATATCTTATTTTGTCTAAATAGTAAGAATAAACCTAAAACAAACTGATTCAGCCACCCTAGTACTGAACTTAAATTCATACAATAAGCATGCAAAAATTATGGGTTTTAAACTATTAAAAAAAAATTATGATTTACAGTGAACTGTTCAAGACACTTTTTTCTTTATGTACTGGCATATGATCCTCTTGGTATTAGGTGATGTAAGCATCTAATCCTCCTATGTAAATTTTCTGGTTACCTCGTATGTTTTTAAAACTAACATGTCATTAAACAGACAATTTACATGTTTGGGTCAATCCATAATGACTGACTGGTTATTTTTACACTGTCAAATACTCAGTAGAAATGTTAGAAATTTATATGAACTTTTACAAATCCAAAATGCCTTTGCAGAAGAAGAAGAAGGTGCTCCACCAGAAGAAGAAGAAGGAATGCCTTTGGAGCCTCTTCCTCCACCTGAACCAACGGAGGTTCCTCCGCCGCCACTTCCAGAGCCACCTCCGCCTTTACCTCCAGGTAAATTTTATCCCTCAGATTACTTATTGAAGTCTTTCACTCAAAAATCACTAACACACATTTTTTGTTTCAGCTGAATATGTCGTAGATGGTAATTGTATTTTATATTATTCATGATTCTTTTTCTTGTAAAATAACACCATTTTAACAAACTAATGCTATTTTTTCCTTATTATTTTGGGTGATTAGAAGGTGATGTAGAGCCTCCAGGTAAACAGTTTTTGTGATTCAGTTTAATTAATTGTTAACCAACCAATTAAATGTTTGTTTTGTTTCATGTACAGGACCTCGTGGTAAGTTTTCTTTATTATTTATTTTGTGGTTTAATGAAGTGTGTATAAGTAATCAATTTTGAAGGAAAGTCATTTAGTAGACAACTTTAAAATTTATTTTAAAAATAATATTTTCCACTGAAGATATGTTCAAAAACCAGGATTGGCTGAGTGGTTAAGGTGTCTCACTTGCCACGCTAGTGATTCTTGGTTCAAATCCTTGGCCCAGCCCATGGAATTTTAATTGATAATAATATTTAAAAGGTATTGTAAAATGGTTTGACCCCTTATCCGCTACCCAATGGATAGTTGGACATTATGACCTCCTGTACAGCAGGAATTACTTTACTTTTTTGCTTATTATTAATGAATTTTGAAAAACTTATAAATATAAAACAGCCTGTGCAGAAGCTTAGTTGTTTGTTCTTATTATTTTTAACTAATGTTATAATTTATAATCAATTATTTATTATTAATAACATTTCTTTTGCAGAATCGCCAACGCAAAGAGCAGGTAAATATGTTTCTAAACTTCTTAGAGAATGGTTGACTCCATAAAATGTAACATTGAATTATTTTAAATTATTATTAAATTATTTAATTCAATAACAAAACAATTTTTTCAGCACCACCACCACCTCCTACACAAGGTTTGTATTATTCAATTAATGTTTGTGTATTCAAGGTGAATGACTTCAGTGACTTTTAAACAGAATCAATTAATTATTTTAAATCAATAAAACCAAATAACACAGTCTATTTGGGTTTCATTATTTACAGATTTTGTATCAACTGGTGACCTAGAAGCTATGTACAGAAATCGAATAAAATATCCTCCAAGATACACATTCCGAAGTAAGTTTTACTAAGACTAAAGGTAATATGTGATAATACCCTAAATAGTGAAATCGTAGATTGATGTTGCATGTTGTAGAAAGCCATTAAATAAAACTTATTTGCTGTTTATTTCAGGATTGATAAGAAGGACCATCCGGGAAAAGTTTGTGAGTATTTGATTTATTTCAACTAACAGTTTTAATTGTATAATACCTAAAATACTCAAAAATATTTCTAATTGACAAAAGCAAATATAGATTAATTATTGAATATATACTCTGTTATATTGTGATATAAAGGCTAAAGGCCAAAGGATAATAGATATAAGTCAATTGTTTTTAAAAAAGTGTAAGATAAAAATCTTAAACTTTTATATGCTGTTTACTATTTTAAGTAACATGTCTTTAGTTTGCAGGATGTAAAATGTGCCTAGGGAACAGAAATATAATGTTTAACGTCTATGACATGCAGAAAGCACAGGATGTTGGATTTTTCTGCGCAAATGTAAGTTATGCCAATAACAATTTATTAATAATTTAACAGTTGATATCGTATTGATAAACTAGATATTTATAACTTGGTTGATACCATCCCCTTGTCTACAACACCAGAAGCTAACATTTAGACGTTGAGTCCTCCAGTATGAAAGGAATAATTTTATTTTTTATTTTTAATACTTTCATTCTCTTGAACATCTTAAATATAGAATATGTAGACTAATGAAGTCAATGGTGAGACCATACTAATTTTGTCAGATTCAATGAGTGTGTTACAAAGCTTAGGGAACCTTAACTTAAAATCTGATATAAATCGTTTAGTAATATGGGTAGCCCAAAAGGTATGGAAAGTTAAACAAACGAAAAACATTGACATCCGCTTTCTTTGGGTTCGGGGCCATTCAGGCATAGAGGGTAATTCGGTGGTTGATAGTCTAGCGAAACGAGCCATCACTAAAGGGACAGAGGCATTGACTCCTATACTCCTACAGGATGCAAGGAGTAAAATCAGATCCCAAATGAGAGAAAAATGGCGTATATATAACACTGACACTCCTACAGGGGCTTTCTTTACTTCCATTAATCCCGATATAAACGAGAAGCCCTGGTTTCACAATGCCAAATGGTCAAAGAAGGATTGCACTATTATGATTAGGTTAAGATCAAATCATGGGATCTGTGGAGTATATTTAGAAAGGATCAAACAACGTAGGGATTATGACATCATTATGAATTGTGAAAGATATTACAAGGAGAGGAGTTTGCTGTTTGATAGCTTGTATTTAATATAAGAAGTAGATAATCCGTTCAACTACAGATTGTTGTTACAAATGAAAGAAGAAAAGGTTTACATGTATATAGTGAATTTTGTGCATCAATACAATCTACTTATATGGCAAGATCGGTAAACGGCCTTCACTAAAAATGTAAAATTTAGAGAGATATTGGGAGGGAGTGTTGGGTGAGGTCTGTGGGGGGGTCAGGGCGGTTACTGCGGGCGGGCGGAGGGTGGAGGAGAGCTCCCTGAGCATGTGTAGCTTCGGTGTTCTAGGAGACATGGACTTTTCCATAGATATTTCGATGTAAATGGTTTTTATCCACGTCTCCGTAGAGACCACTGCCAAGCCCGCTTTATCCGCCGGTTCGTCCGTTGCTGCCGGGTTGGCTCTGCCCGGTCCTTCTTGATACTAAAAAAAAACAAAAACACGTGTACAGAGTTGAGTCTACCACTTCTTGCAGCCCACCGGCAATTACAGCTTTTGTGATTTACAATAAATAATTGGCAGGCTGTTGGCAGTCCAGAGTCAGACCTAGGTCTTATCCATTCAGCCTCCGAGGTTGTACTCTAGGAGTTATCAACAGCTAGGTCACTTTTCAGCCCCCAACGCAATCAATTCCTAAATCCATTCATACTCTCACCCATTCTTAAATATATTCTCTCCTATTTACATGCCATTCACTCCTATTATATAACTAACCTAATTGAGGGGCAATGGGTATCCAATATTCTGCCATTGGTCTTCTCACACTACACATTACCAATAAATACATAAATGCCTTGCATATTGTATGATGAGAACAATTACACCTTTTTAAATTGAATTTTTTTGCAGTATTTAACTACAGAAGCAGATGAAATGGTTATTGAAATAATTCGGTTGGAGTTGGACACTGATGTCGTCGATGAATTGCAAGACTGTTACGAGGCCCTTTTTGTTGATTTTGCCTTCCTCGGTCACATAATGGCAGAAACTTTAGGCTACCCTCCTGCTTCACGCATTATGTACAGAACTCAAAATAGTGAGTGCTGTGAAAGTTTTAACCGATCAGTTGCAATATGAAAGTTCTATAGAAACATCTTTAGGGTTTTGCTTTTCAAGAAATTTTAACATGAAGGAAAGAAGCATTTTAAAAGAGATGTTACGACCGACTGGCAAAATAACATCTACAGTAATAAGATTTTTGGTTGTGGGAGACCCTGGTGACGATCCAAATGTTGGAGGCAGATGCTGGGATATTGCGTATGTAATACATTAGGCAAATAGTTATACTTAATCGCTAAAGGGCTTGGTAATTTAGTGTTCTCAGAGGAATTGAATTTGTAATCACTTATCAAAGAGGTGTTTTGTTGGCTTATATATATCAGCAACTGAATGTACTGGTAGGTTATCTTCTTCTTTATACAGACCAGAGGGCTATAGTATTTCCATAAAAATTAAATTGTAATTCATGAGTTTGGTAATTGGTTTTAACTAGCAATAGCAGCATAGCTCTTGAAATTTTATTAGATACTTATTTGGAAAAAGTAATGCTAAGTTGTTCTGGCTCTTCCACGACACCCATGTGTTAGATTAGATGTCCTGTATGACAAGACATTAGTTATTTTATTTAACTAATTCATTGGTTTGTTTCTAACCAATTAAAACTAAGTTTGAAGTTTCCTTATTTACAGTGTAGATATTTTATAAGATCCACTGGAACTTGGATCTTGAAGGTTGAACTGTAATTAAATTTAGCAAAATAAAGTGCCTCTTGTTGACTGTTTTTCCTTAAGTGGAAAGGAAGGTCCATCTTGAAAAATAATTCAACCATTATATTACCAACCATAATTAGTCACAATAAAGAAGGGATTTCTTCTGTTTATGATACTTTTCCCCCCCAAAAAGGTAAAACATCTAAAAAATAAAAACAAAAAAACAATAAGAATAATTTTTGTTATCTCAAGTGATTGGCTTTTTGCAGAATATAATTTTTATTAGAAGATGGTCTATTTACACACTGCTGTTCACTGATTGATGGGGACTGCGGTGGCTGAGTCGTTAGGGTGTCCAACTCATGTTTGCCTCATGTTGCTACAGTAGCAGTTCTGGGTTTGAATCCTGGCATGCTCATGTAATTTTAATTGAGAATAATATGAAAAAATGTATTGTAAAGTGGATTGAATCAGCATTCGCGACACCCAATGGATAGTTGGACATTAAGATCTATGTTTAAAAGTCCTGTTAAAACAGTACATTCAAGCCCATCACATCTGGAGTCTGTCAAGGCTCAAACAATTTCTGCTTCTCTTTTTATTGTTACATCAATGACTTATCTAAATCTATAAAATATTGCTCTTGACTTAATTCAGGAGTACTTGGAATCTCAATTGGGGCCGCTGAAAATGGGCTTTGAATGTAGAAAAGCCATTGTTTTCAGATCTAGCTCCCTCATCTATTCCAATTCCTCCATTTACCATTTCCTTCTGTCCTACCATCAAGGACCTTGACTGTCCATAATCAGACTTTGAACTGAAAGCCCCATATCTCCCAGATTTCCCAGTTCTGCATACCCACCTAATATTGGTTCTGTTTTGCCAGTCATCTCCTTCCCATGAGTATGCGTAGACTTCTAGTTTCATCCCTTGGGATGATAAGCTTTCATTGAATGAATTGTTTTGCATGTTTTATCTTTGGCTTACTAAGGAGGTCCCAAGTGACTGATCTGTATTCTGATTCGAAGTGGTAATACTTTTTTTTATTGCATCTATCATTTTTATCATATCAAATGATATCTTTCCATTCTTTTCTCTACATATCACCTTCTGATCTTCTGTACACTCCCCCATTCTGACCTCCATTTTACTGATTACTGATTTATATAAGTACAAATCTACACATGTATGTACACGTATACATTACCACATGTATCTCTCCCAGTCCGCCGGAGTTCCAGCTTTTGTAATTTATTCTAAATTATCAGCAGGCCTCAAGAATCACCTATGCTGGCAGTCCGGGGTCAGACCTCGGTCTAATCCATTCAGCCACCAAGTTTGTGCTCCATGGGCTACCAACAGCAGCTGGGTGAAACTCATTCACACTCTCACTCACTCTTAAATACATTCTTACGTATTTACATACCATTCACTCAGATAGGGTAGTGGAGTAGTTGATATTCCTCCTCCATCAATCATCCTTTTCACCTTACTCCCATAATTAGTAATCCCCAGCATAATTGATGGTCGATGGGTTAAGAATTACTCTTGAACTCAGGAATATGCAGTTTATTATTTTTTTCGCTTTGCTTTAAGTCTAAAAGTGGGTTAAATAATGTTCAAATATATTCACCTTACTGCCTAAAAAAATTGTCTTTCAGATTTGCAGATTTACGGTTGCGTTCTTTGATACAGAAGAAGAGAGGCGTTGCGAAGAAGATCGCCTTACCTGTTTATTCTTTTACGGACAAAAGAATCGGAAAGCTCGTCGTCCGTATATTTGGACGACGTCTCATGAGATGTATTTTTAAAGAGAGAACCCAAGGGCCTTGTGTTCCCGTCTTTTGAACGCGGATGAGAAGCCAATCTGTATCGAAACGGGTGCCGCTCGTGGCCAATAGGTCAAAATATAAACAGTTGCGAGCTTACTATGGCTACATTGTGAATTGTAACTATAAAAGAGGAAAAACACCTTTTAGATTGTTTATAGCTGAGAACAGCAGATTAGATCAAACTAAATAACAACCAAAAGTGAATACGGCTGTGATTTAAGGTATTAGTTAACAAAATAGCAGTTATTAGTTAAGCAAATTATTCTTCGTCATTATAAAAATAAATGTTTCTCCAGGCTGGCCGTTCCCAGACTTGTATCATTACTTCTTCAAGATGATGGCCTATGTCTAGTATTTATATAAACCGTGATGTCCGCCGGAAAGGGACCGGGAGAATGGGCATAATCGAACATTAGTCCACAGTTCGACCGTCCCTGATCTCCCTGGTCCGCCTATTCTCGATGTATTGAGTAGCTGTTAAAACGTTACCGGCCCTGTTCACGGATGCTGGGAGTAAACTCTAAGAGGTTTCTGGCACGGGTCAAGTCAGCAAATTTTCCACGGGGAACAGACCAGTGTAAAGAATCACAAGAAAAGCGTAGCGGTTCATCAGTATATCTGATTTTTCTTAAACCGACGTTTGAGATCAATAAGTAACTTAAGCATCGTTTGGTTTAAGCATTATTAATCATCTTAACATTATTATTTTATTTTTAGACACTTACGCTTCAGCATTGGTCGGTTTCGATTCATCATGGTGTCGGCACAATGAGACAAAATAAAATATATTTTCATTACTTAATGCTGTTTTATTTAAGGAAAAGGAGAAATGCCAGTTGATCATGGGGGAAACTGTTGAGCGGGTGTGCTAGAAGTTTTTTTTTTGTTTATGTGATCGTTTAGTTAAAAATCATCATATAATTTTATTGTGACCACCAACGACCACTAATTAATTGAATGCCAGCTGAAACTACATTTAATTTCAATTTATGTTTCCATTGAATGCCTTAGCTTTGATTTGTCATTAACTTCCCTTTACAGCTGAATTCCATTTCCACAGATATCTTGACAATTTCGTCCATGACCTCTGTTAGGTCCTGGACAGTAGTTGTGACATTGAAGGGGTATTTTATTATGGGTGATAGTTCTCATTAACTTGAATATTGTGTATGTGTAATATTTAGTGACCATTAATTAACGAATATTTAAAGATCGTGAGATGCGGTCGGATGTGATAAAGGGTTAGAAAAACATTTTCTTTATGGTGCCAATGTTTACATCTTCATTGATATCATCTTCAGGGCCTGGGATTTATAAACATTATGTAAGCTATACAAGTACATATAAGATATTAATATGAATTTATACAGTGATGTACACAATATAGAATTTTTATGTTTAATCAAAACATTTGTACTCACTCAAAGTGTGTGTGTTTTCTGGGTTGTCGTGTCACTGTTGTGTGTCGTGTTGGGAGTGTTAGTGAGATTTTAATATTTTTTTATTTATATATGTTTATTTCGAAGGAGTGGGGAAGGAATTAATGATAGAAACTCAGTTTACAATGAGGAGTCGGCTTTTTTGAGGTTAAAGGGAAGGGGTCAAGATGATCTAAATCAAGAGCAAAACGTTGGCACCATAAAGAAAATGTTTTTATAACCTACATCACCGATCCGACCGCATCTCGTGATCTTTAAATATTCATTGTATGATGGGTTTTATTTCGAAGGGGAAAAGCTTATCTTAACATGACGAGTTTGCCCCACTCGCCTATTCGCAACACATGTGCCTGGAGCTCATCCTAAGCAACTGCGGAATCAGGATCAGAGGATATAGTTATGACGTCGTGGTGGAGGATGTAGTCGGGATATCTGAGGTATAGATGAGGTACAAGGCTGATCCGAGCACCTTGTGGCATTCCCAAAGGAGGCATTCGGGGCTGTCTGATCTTTAACGAACTCGGAAGGATTGTTCCGTTAGGTATTTGGAAGGACACGCTGCAATTTGTTTTGAAACACTAGCTATTTTATAACTAATAGTACACCCAACACTGATACGGTTTAGTTTCTTCAAACAAAAATGAAGAAACAATTTATATTGAGAAATGATGATTAAAAAAGTAGTCAAAGAAGTTTTACTTTGCTCGGCTTTGCTTCATAAAACTTTGCTTTCATTAATCTTTATCCTCCAAAGTTGGCTCTATTTGGCTCTTCGTTGGACGTGTGTCTGGAGCTCCTCCGAAGCAATTGCAGGATCGGGGTCAGAGGAAAGCACTGTGCCTTCGGCAAGGGGGTAGAGAGTGTAGTCGGGTTATCTCAGGTGTAGAGTAGGTACAGGGTATTGCCCTCTGCCCTATGGTACTTCAGCTCCTACAGGGCAGTAATCGGAGTAGTCCTTGGCAAACTCGAAAGAATCGTCCTTCGAGGTGGGAAGGATTATGTATAAGGTGTAGGAAGGACATACTTTAGTATATAGGATACACTCATGCCAGACGCGATCAAACGCTTGTGATAAATTAATCGAGGCTTCCATGCAATATTTTTTACATGAGGTGAGGTGTGTAGTCCTTAACGCGAGGCACTTGCTGGACTGTTGAATGTTGAGAACCAAACTGGTGATCTGAGAAAACGTTAAGGGAGTTTACTGTAGGGATCAATCGCTTGAAAATGATCTCAAATATTTTTGTGAACAGAGGAAGTAGGCTGATTGGATATAAAAAGAAGCTTGGCTGTGATGCCGGGTTTTGGGAAAAGGACGACATTTGAGTATTTCCAGAGCAAAGAGAAGTCAGTGGTGCGGAGAGTACTGTTGCAGATATATATAAGAAGATAGAAACCATAGACGGAAGTTTTATGAGCATCTTACGCTTGGTGTCTATATCTAAATTTGATTTTGACCCTCAGTACAGATAACTGTGGACACTGGGCTTCGTTCAGTTTCGAAGCATGCATCAAATCGAAATACTATTTCACATACTCTCTTTTTTCGTAATATCATTCAGAGAGAGACCAAACTAATATCACTGAGTGTAGACGCGGTCTGGGCAGATTGATTTGCCTAGGGCTATTTATTTTGTTTCACAAATGCCCTTAGTAGTATGGGTTGCTTTCTAACAGTGCTACTTTGGAGGAAAGGAGGAGGGTAGTCGTCTCGGAAAAGTTCATAGTAATTAGCTGACTGGGTTTTGGTTCGGAAGGACACACAAGATGTTGGATGCGTGTTTTTCATATCTGATCTCGGTTGATGACACACCATTAATGTATTGGTGGAGCTGGAATTCATTGCGCCCAGTCTAATTCTTGGATTCTGTCCAGCTTGTTAAGATAGGATTTCGCTGCACTATCATAGTAAATGGACCCATAATACTAAAAACTGCAAGCACACGGTAAATTCTTACTCATATCCTTGGGTGGATACCATATTTTATTTTCAAAATACATCTGAGTACATTTAAAGCCTTTTTTTATTTTGTTTCGATTGCTGTCCAACACAAATCCGAGGAATTTATGGATATGGGTGGTGTTACCTATCTGCAGACTGTGAGGATCTACGTCGTGTAAAATCCATTTTCTGTTATCTTTGCAATCTAAATTAATCCACATTGTACCATTTTAGTAGACGCTTGAGTAAGTTAGCTGTTTCGATACTTGGGCACGATATCGTTAAGCAGTTTTTATTATTTGAAATTTGGCCGTTGTCAATCATTTCCCACTGCCTATCTCTTAGCCGGTCTGTCTAGCGCCTTTTGCCATCTTCAATGTGTTTTATTTTACAGTACTACTTTAAGGGCAATTTGCCTTAAAAACAGAGCCTCTAAAACACCACAATCAGCAAACTCGGGAAAGTGTGACTTTCTCCTCCTGATAAACCATTAGTTTATTACAAATTTTTCTTATATTTTGAACTTTTAAATTTAATATATTAAAAAACGGACTGAAAGTGCCAAAAATCTGTCCCAGTAACTTCCCGTTTGCAGTGATTCAAAAAATATAATAATGATTAAGTTTAATGTGAAACGTGACTTGCCAACGAAAGAGTCGCAGCTTTTTTGTTTGTTTCTTGTTTTATAACGTAATGGACTTCATTACAATAATAATGGCTATAAATAATGGCAGCAGCCAGGAATTTGCCTATAAAAATACCGTGTTCTAAAATTTAAAAAACAAAATATCAGAAATTATTGATCGATTACAATATAAGAGCCAGTCATGTTCATGTTTTACCGTATACTAGCTGCATTTTGGAGCCTACATATTTTAAATATACAAACCTAGCAGTGAAACTAATTTTCTCTATGTACATAATTTATAATAAATAAATAAATGTAATAATATGTATACAATGAAATAAAATACTAATTAAATGTGTTATAGAACAGAATAATTCAGAGTTTTAAAGGTAGAAAGCCTCAGCCAACTACCTCAAATAACGAATAATTTGGTGGCGGTGCTGACGGGTTTGTACAAAACTAGAAAAAAAGGTTGACAACACGATCAAAATGAAGTTCATGATAAAAAAGAAGATAGAAATGGTTCAAACAACGGAAAGAAACTAATGAAACCAACCTTGGTCAAATCATATAATTTGATAATCTGACCTAAAACAGTATTTCTCCTAAAAGGGGATGCGGTCGTTGGATCATTGATTTCAATGGAACTTTTTTTGTTATACTAGGTCGAAAAATATTAGATACGAGTGTTCTTGCCAACGGGCCCCTAGGAGCTGACAAAAATGGTTTTGTGCCTTGGCAGTGAATGCATTTCAAGAATAGGTATTATATTGTATCACTTATAAAAACATATATGTTCTTTGATGAAAGCATATTTTAACTTTACAAAAAATCAATCCGCTGGTGAGAATGAATCAATCAATTGCCAAATTTGAAATATGACGTAGCAAAGTAAGTTCAAATATTTTTTTCAAAGCTAGAAACAAAGTTGATATTTGTTTTTCGTACCTCAAAAAAACCCGAATACATGCTTTTCGGGTTTTTCCTTAAACTTTCCTCTTCCAGCCAGAGATTTTTTTCAAAAATCACAATAATGAAATCTTGAAACGACTCCACAGATCCTCAGGATGTTTTACAAGGGTTGAGGAGTTTGCATTCGTAAGTATGTGACAACCTGAGATAAAAAATAAAACGTTTGAGATGTTTTTCTTGATTTCATCCTCATTTTTCTCACTCATAATGACATAAAATCAAAACATTGTAGACATAGGCTGAAAAAAAGACATTGATCTTTTTAACGGTTGTAGTAACGAAGAATTTGGATAAAATCCAAAAGAGTTATAAATTTTTAAGTGGGACACGGAACATTGAAGGAAAAACATTGCACCAAGCTCAAAAATGTTTATTTTTTGATGACTATAAAAATTTACGTTTAAAAGCTTTAAAGGCAAAGTTATGGCAAAAGGTTTGATGAAAACAAAAAACAGTCATTTGGTTTGATATTTATTAATCACATTTCATGTTCGAACTGCCTGTCTTGCGCAAAGATTGCTCTTTTCTCCTTCATTCATTCTTCACCGGTGCTCATAGCGCTATCGCTATTGCTGAGGCCCCCCCCTCCCCGAAGTGACGATTCAAATAACGTCTCACCTGAAAAGAATGAAATGAGATTATTAAATAGCAAACCAAATGACTGTTTTTCCTAAAACTTTTTGCATAACTTTGTCATTTTTTGATCAATTTAAAAACCGATTGCACAATTATTTTCAGCGTAAAACATCCTTTAAAATGATGTGTCGGGATGTATAGGGTCATATTTTAAATTTGAAAGTTGAACGGGCTCTGAGGTACCCTGTACATTTTTTCTCCAAAAAAAGATACAAATTTGAAAATGGACTGAGAAATATTAAACACTTTTTTTATAGCATCATTGGTTCGAGAGAAATTCAGCCAGGCCATCTAAACAGGACACCCTGTATATCTTATCACTTTTGATATAATCCTGCTAAAGGATATTTTCTTATCCTTCGTACAAAATCAAATCGACTGATATATATTAACGTAGACGTACACGCAGAACAAAGGCAGAAAACCATATGTGAAAAAATGACTAAAAAATTAGCTAAAATATATTTTTCCTAGGCACCTATGGCACTTAGCAAGAACGCTCGGACACGTTATAATATTTTTTAATCTAGTATGACAAAAAAGTTTCATTATTTCATTCCATCCCCAGGAGACTCTTGTTAGTTGGAAAAGTTGTCATCAAAAGCGTAGTGTAGACGTAAAACGAAAATAAAATACCAGAAAACGAATATTTATGAAGAAATTGAGGGTTTTAGTTGAAATAAAAAAGTCAGTGTCACGAGCGGGATTCGAACCCACGACCTTCGGCTAGATAAGCCGCTACTCTACCACTTGAGCTATAGTGACTTCGATACAGTCGGACACTAACTTCCCATCTCAACCCCTCCTTTTTGCCATTTTTCAATGTCGTGTAATCTATTTGATTCTCGGCGACAAATGTGCGAAGTGCCACTGACTTTTTTATCTCAACTAAAAACCTTAATTAATTGAAAGATATTAATTGGTCAAGCGGATCACGAAAACTAGTGAATTTATGACGTACTTCAAATGAAACGTATTTGTTTGTTTTTCATTGCCCGTAAAATTTAAGTACACTTATTAGCTGTTCCAAAAGTTATGACATAAATATTTTAGTATGTAGTATGAATGTCGATTGATTGCAGGTTTGGATTATAAAAGAGGTTTTAGCACTTCACAATCTTTGTTGGTAGGTCTGTGTGTCATTGTGTCCTTATCTCTGTACAAAGAATGCGACTGTCGTATACTATCTGTCGTATAAATAGCAATCCAGCTGAGAATTAAAGAGTTAAAACAAGATCAGTTTGTTGTGAAGATGATGGACAATTCTTGGACAATTATGGACAATTCTCGTATTGATAATTTTCTAACAGCCATACTTTATTTAACAACAATCACTCCTCACACGAAAACAAAAGTTCACAAACGACGCGTTTTTAAAAAAGAAATGTATGACAGCGAAAGCAGGACGGCTACGAACGTTTTTACATACGCGTTACATACGGGTATAGAAAGCGGTTCATCCGTTGCAGTGGGCATAGTAGTGACCGGAGCGTTTTTTTCCTCGTGCCTGACACGATCCTAGTATGTTACGTTCTAGTGGGCAAAGACCTGAGTTGTCACGGCGCTCATCACTGTAAAGTAAAGGTCCCGGGTTCGAATCCAGCGGCCCTGCATTCGATCCCGACATACTTACAAATGGGCGTTTTTTCAACAACACCGGCACCCCAAGTGTTGATATAATCTCTGCTGTTGCGAACCCTCGTAAAAAATGCATCTACCCACAACACTGAATATGCTTAAGAAAGATTTTAAGCGAAGTAAAGATTTTATTTATTTAGAGCTCAGAAAAAGTAAACCTCCATGCGGATTGTTGTTTATCTATTGTGTATTAGTTTATGATTAATATTAATTGATCGTGCTTCAAAAATAATTAATTTACAGGAAGAAGGCATAGGATGAAACCAATAACAAATGTCAGACCTAGTAATTGTACGAATCCCGATCCGTAGGCCTGAGACAAACTCGAGCGCGAAGTGATATAAATGTCAGCGGCCCGCGGAGGGGAATATTAAATCCCGGAATGATTCGTCCGTGCAAAAAAAGTTGAAACCAATAAAGTTGGAGGTGGATAAGCAAAAGTAGTTTTCCTTGGGGCCCAGTGTGGTGGGGGCGGCTTGTGTTGCTATCTGCCGGTGAGGCCTGCTCTGCCCTGAACCGAGCTCAGTAGTACACCGATCGCGGGTGCCGACTGGTCTGATGACTCGACCGGTTCTTTTCCGTCGGACTATTATTACAAAATTATGCACAAACAAAGCACGATCGAATTCGAACGGGTGGAATTTTCCCCTTAAGCAAATGGCCCTGAGGGGCGATCGCACGGCGGCTTTGAACTTATTTCGCTCAGTATTACCTTTAGATCGGAATTCAGTGATCGTATTTTAATTTTTTTTTTAACATGTATAATAATAACAATTAAAAAAAAGAAAAGCGAAACAGCTTTAGTTCAATCCGTCGCCAATACTGTTTTAATCCCTGGGCAATATTAAATACACACGTTCATTAGAAGTGTGCATAGGGGAAAATTTGCAGCAAATAGTGAATAGACAACACCATCTTCGGAAAGGGACAAAAAGTGGAAACGCAAATCTTCAATCAAAATAGGTAGGTTTGAAATTTAAAAAAAAAAAGAAGAAAACCGTGGGTCATGTTGATTTGAGTTTTTCGGTTGGGACGGGAAAGTCAACTCCTGGGGCTACCTGTAGGATCCGCACACGGCAGAACTCTGGAGGATCCTCGCCACTCCCTGTCAACCACCCTACGGCAATTTTGATTGCATGTACATTTTGTTATCACCCACGGAAAATTAACTAAACCGGATTAATGGACGTGCCCGTCGATTTAATAAGACACGTGAAGGGAAAAAATGGAAATTTTCCTTTATGCATAGTTATCATTTTTCTTATCACACGTTCAAACAATTTGGTTCAAGTGCCACATGTCTTGACACGACCGTTAATTTTTAATGACCAGTTAATTAAACACTTTCCCTTAATTAAATCATCAATATGCAAATTACACAACAATAAGGGATATGGTTTTTATAGTACAAATAGAAAAGTTTTCCCTGAGGAAAAAATGTTTATAATAATTGTATTGCGAGTTATAAACATTATGAATTGTAAGAGAACCACATTTAGACTTACAATTACCATTTGTTTGTACAGGTACATGTCATGTATACATGAAATTTGCAACAACACGGTCATATCGACACCCTCCCCCCGGGATTCAGGTGTTTGTTAAAATATATATATATATATATATTTTTTTTTTATTGTAAGATTATTGTTGAAAAATGTATTTAACAAAAATCAGCTTATTTTATGCCGACTGACGTAGATTCGTGTCATTGACACATGTTATCAGTTGCATGGCCTACTTTCTGTCTACGGGGAAGACACACTACACATTTTGAATAAATTAAGCCACATAGTAATTTTTTAAAATAAACTTTTAGAAAGAATTCATAAAATATATATAAACGATGTAAAATACAGATCAAAATGTTACCAGTTCATTACGATTTGACATCGCCATTGTTTTAATTCTATTGATTAACATTTCGATCAAAGAAACACTCAAAAAAAAAAGAAAAAAAAAGCGGACTAGGTCCAAAAAGTTTGGCTCCCTTTCTACGTGCCTGTTCTAATCACATTCCATTTTAATTAGACTTGTAATAACGTTTTTTTACCCCTTTTCATTTTCCTTTAAAAAATTAAAATAGATATGTAGGTTCTCTAAAGGGAGGCAGAAGACTGATATAAAATCCTGTATATTTACTGCTTGTTTTTTTAATTGGCCCTTAGATAATTTTTACTTAAATAATACATCTCAAACATCCGTCGAAAGTTAAACAAACTCAATTCACATTCCACTTATGTTTTACGCAATTGACGCGATTAAACTGTGATAATTACGTTATCTCACCGTAAGTGACGATCAAGAAGAGATATTGTTTGAATTTTGAAATCTGAGGAATTGCAATTGGCTTAGATAGGTTTGCGAAGAGTAGGGATATCGATCGCCTTTCCTTTGATTTATATCGTCGAGTCTGAAATTTGTTTTTCAGCCAGTTATTACTTTATTGCACATTTTATTAAGACGACGGAGAGAAAATTCTCTTTTCAACAATAGGTCCTATTATGGAAAAGAAAATTTATTTCCTACCCATCGAATTATTATGGAGTTCCCCAAAATAAGGATGGACGCCATCAAAAAATCCAACCGGAGTCAGAGTGGACGATTTTACATTTGATCAGGATAGTGTGAACAGTTTTTAGCATTTCTTACGTTAAATACCTGTACAAAATTTTAATACACCATCTATTAACGAAAAACATCTTCAAAACAGAGCATGATCAAACTGGCAGTCATTTTAAGAAAGTGATGTAAATTTAATGCTGGGATTTTATTTTTATAAGGAACAAATACTTAGTTTTTATTTTTTGAAATGTCTCAATTTATTATACATACGTTTAATCATGAAAGAATACAAGCAATGGTAGAATTTCAACAATCTTTCCCGAATTTATTCTTTTTTATCGGTTTTCTATACGGAAACTCATTAAAAGCAATATACTGGATTTAGTAGCATTAGTTAAATATTATTCACGGATTAAAATTTGATTTTAAAAATGCTTCGTAGAATTTGGCAGCTTTGAATGTATATGATTTTCACGCGTTAAGGTTAAAAATATACAGCGCGTTTTAACACTCTTGACTGGAGGACGCTAGGTGTGCTAAGTAAGACTCTTCTTATCTAAAATACACACGTCTACGTCTTTCTTTCTTTTGATTAATTTCCTCGAGTCTGAAATATGTTTCCCAGCCAACTATTACTTTATGTGCGTAATTTATTATATAGTATAAGTCGCAATACTTAAAAAAATCTAAAGTTAGTCAGGGTCGACGATTTCACAGCTCGCCAGAGTAGTGCAAACAATTTGTCGCAGTTATTTAGTTACATTCGTTTATAAAATGTATTAGGCTTGATTGAAATTAATACACTTCGTAGAATGTGACAGGTCAAATGAATTTCCACGTGTAATGTTAAAAATTCACTGAGCTTTTAAAACTTTTGGCTGGAGGTCGCTAAGTGTGCTAAGAATCATTCTTATCTAAAATACATACGTCGAACCTCTTTCTTTCTTGTGGTCAATTTCCTCGATTATGAAATGTTTTCCAGTTAAATGTTACTTTATTTGTGCGAATTTTATTATATAGAATATTTTAAAAAATCCAACGTGAGTCAGGGTTGACGATTTCACATTTGATCAAGGTAGTGCAAACATGTGTGGTATTTAGTGACCGATAATTAATGATTATTTGGAGATTGTGAGATGCGGTCTGGTGTGACGTAGGTTTAGAAAAACATTTTCTTTATCGTGCCAACGTTTCGATCTTTATTGAGATCATCTTCAGGGCTCGGCACTCTCAACACGACACACAATAATGGCACATCTACACAGAAAACAAACACTTTGAGCCCTGTAGATGATCTCAATAAAGATCGAAACTTTGGCACGATAAAGAAATTTTTTTTCTAAACCTACGTCACACCAGACCGCATATCACGATCTCCAAATAATCGTAGTGCAAATAGTTTGACACAGTTTTTACGTTATATCCCAATATAAAATTCATACAAAACACTTTGATTTTATGTTTTTGAACCAAGAAAGTCAGGCAATGTCTCTAATGATTATATCGATATGTGATAGTTTGATCATGTAAGAAGACAAGTGCTAAATATAACCAAGATAGACTTTAAACAAACCTTCTCAAATTCATCCCGTTTTATTAGTTCTTTACTCGAGAGACCGTTGTAGTTACATGTTCGACATTGAAATTAAACTGCTTCGCTGGGTTTGGCAGGTTTAATTTATATAAGATATTTTATTTTGTAATATAAGTCAAAATACGTTTATGAATCCAATTTCAGTCAGGGTCGACGATTCCACAGGTTGTCTGAGTAGTGCGAAGAGTTTGTCGCAGTTTCTACGTTAAATTCCTCTAAAACCTCATTTTAAAGGGTAAGGATGCAATCATTATTAAATGTATCATTTTGAGCGCAAAACATGGCGTAAACTTGCAATAATTTTAAGAGAGAAAACTAAATTTAATATTGGGATTTTTTTTATTACAAAGAACAAATAGTTTTATTTCATTTATTTTTTACCCAAAAAAGCCAATTGTATATGACTTAAACGAATATATAACGTTTAATTATGTAAGCCAAATGTTAAATATTAAAAATGCTAGAATTTAATCAGCTCTTCTCGAATTCACACTTTTTTATATTAGTTCCCTATCAAATGGATTAGATAAAGCCAATCTATTGGATTAGTCCTTTTAGTTAAATGTTAGGCATGACTGAAATTAAAATACATAGTACTTTGCTCCCACATAATTAGAAAACATAAAATCGTGTAAGAATAGATGTGAAACGCTAGAATTTAAACAAACCTTCCCGAATTAATCATTTTATATTACTTATTTTTTAAATAGTTCTCTACTACATAGTAAATCTATTGCAGTCCTTTAGTTAAATAATTGTAGGGAGTAAAATTAAAATACTTAGTAGAATGAGGCAGGTTTTTCATAAATCATTTGACTTTCTTCGAATTAATGCTAAAAAGTCATCTTTTAACACTTCTGACTGGAGGTGTGCTAAGGTCTGAAATATGTTTATAGCCAACTATAACTTTATTTGTGGATAGTTTATTATATGATATGTCTATATACGTTTACAAAAAATCCAACGTGAGGCAGGATCGACAATTTCAGCTTTGATCGGAGTAATGATCTACCGATATTGAGTTAATGAAAATATCTTGGCTATTGATTTTTCCTCTACACATCGCTAGTTCTCATTTTTAGAGTAGGAACACGAAAGCGTCGACAAAGTCGATTAAAACGAACCCCTTTCTGAAGATGTCTCCGATATTAAAATTCCCTTAAATTATCCCCAAGGGAATTTTAGACGATTCCAACTCAGGAATGAGTTGACGTACTTGGATTATCTTTTTGTTTTTGCCTGACCCACCGTTGGGAACTGATTGATGCAAAAATTGGCCTAGGTCCAGATTTAAGTAGGTTGAATTTTCTAATACACTCTCTGGCCTAAATTTTATCCGGGTGTTTATAACGGAGCCAGGACGTTGCGACTTAAACGTATCTAACAATAGAAAAAGTCTATGAACTATGATCTGAACAAATAATTCCTGGAACTGTTTAAAAAAATTTACAAAATTATTAGCTCGAATTCTAATTCGTATGTAAACGATTACATACGAAGAAAAGAAAGGGTTTCTAAGAATAAAGGAGTTAATTTATTAACGGCATCTATAATAAGAGAAAAATACAATCCAATTTAAAGAAATAAATTTATAAATAATTCCTATTGAAATTCAAATTTAAACATTACCCAGTGCCTAATGGGAAAACTGGCCTCCTTTCTGTACCGTTATTTTCGGAATCTCTTGATAAAATTCAATGTTTATATAAAATGTCTAGCTGATTGTCTAAACTTAACAATTTATCGTATTTACTAGACCCTGAGAAAGTAAAAAATTCGTACTTTACAAAATGCTTGAAAAACA